TGAAGTCGACGGACACCATGTGGGACAATGTCAACCTGGTCAGAAAGACATGGTTGTCAGGAAAAAATTGCAACAGACGATCACCTTTGTCAGTTCGTTGGCATGAGATTCCGTAAATACCTACTGCTAGATTCCCTTCTGATTCACTCAGCTTCCCTATTTGAGCGTTAAAGTCAACCACCATTATGACTACATCTGAAAGTTTTACTTTCTGGGGAAAAATTGGCAGCTTCTCAAATAATTCATCCTTTGCATCATCCAAACCGCAGTCGGTGGGCGTGTAGGTGGAGAATACGAACAGACGTCGCCTAGTCTCATGATCCTTCCTAGATCTTACAGATTCATTCAGTCGAACAACAAACAGACAGCTACCTCCTAGAAACTAGATGAGGTGAGCACTTTCTGCTCTATGTATCAATGCTATGCTTACACCAATGATTCCATGGGAGCCAGTCACTGGGTCCCCGGATACTTCTAAGGTGAGTTTTGAAGATTGGACGAAACAGCTGTCCAGTGCTCCCATATCTTCAATATTCCTCCATCTGATATCAGTACATGATCCCCACAAAACCGTCAAATTCAAAAGTTGAATTGGTCTGAAGAGATTCAATGGGATTATCAATCTGTTATACAAATTCAAACTGATATTTCTGCGTAACGGTTGAAGATGAAACACCACATAACAGCACGGTCAAAACATAAGCCTCAGCGAATAAGGTCATGGAAATAAGGATAAAAGTGTAAGGTAAAGTCAAACGTCTTGAGTAAGAGTAGAAACATAATAAAGCAGGAAAAACAAAATGCGACTATAACACATGGATCCTTCTATATGACTTCAATTAATTTTAAGTTACATTATCTAGGTTATCGGACCACCGTTTTCAGTTGTCACATGAACATAAATCAGGAAGTCTGGAGTGGAGTTGACAGAGTTGTGATGGGGTGGGTGGGTGATTGACACTTCCCAGTCGCCCACACCATGGAAGGTGACTTTTTTTCCCCAGAACTGATTGTAAAAGAGAGGTTGGTACTCGATTGCATAGTTCAAAGGGATATATACCACAGACTGGTAGCATATGGCTTTTTTGGAAGTTTGAAGTTTTAGTTAGTTTTCAAATCCACATGTGCTAATGTGGAATAGCCTTCGGTAGAGAGCAGGTTAGAGAAATGTACTGTTCTTTAGGTCAACCTTTCCTAACATTTCCTTTTTGCATACGAAAGGTAGCATCAGTATTGCACTTTTGGGACATTTACAAGAAACATCTTATTGCTGTCACATCCCCTCTTCTAGCCAGTAGTACCTCTTTGTCATCAGAACCACATCATAGCGTAGAGATAATTACACTATAACTGCTTTTTGTTTTATCAATATCCAACTGACCTTTCTGGTTTGGTAGTACATTCAGTGAAACAGAATAGCTCGTTAGATCATTGAGATATACAAGCCTGATCATTACACAAACTAGCAACTGTCGATTGGGTTCGTTTACTTTACTATTCTTCTATTGGACGTCCATGAGAAAGGTGGTTGCAAATAAAGCAGCAGGCATCCCAGGCAGTCATCATTAACGCACACAACTCATCTGATAACTCGTAATTGACTTTAACACAAGTATACAGCTTTATATAAAGTGATATAATCACCTGGGACCCGTTTAAGTGACAGACAAGGTGACACAAGACCTTTCAATCGACGGAGTCCAATACCGCTTTCAAATCAAGAAACTTGAATAACGTGTAATTGTATTGTCTTTGGAAGATTTTTAAACTTTTACAAGAGATGAATGCTCTGTTTCAACTTTCTATTCGAAATTCGATTGGATAGAGTAGATGAAGGATAGTTGAACCGTTCCTTAAAGTGTTCCACCCTTTATCTAGTCGTCTCTCTTGTGATTGAATCACAAAGCCATCCTTCTTAACCGAAGTCTCATTAACCACTGACTTTTTCGGGTCAGTTTCTCTGATAATTTTAAATAGCTGTCGGATATTACCTTCTACAACCGTTAAAAAAAATTTTTTTGGTCTTCGCTAGCCACCACTATTTTTTCAGAGGATTGGAAGTGGCACCAATTTCCTTCGGGATGACTGAAGATATTCTCTTCCAATAGCTGTCTAGAGAGTTCTCTTTGAAAGCAGGTTTCATATTCTGGTAATGAACCTTACACTCATGACAGATTTGCAGTTGTCTTTTTTCTACATCGATTCAGGTGCAGACATAAGCGTGCTCGAATCAACGCGTGATTACTGCCCAAATGCATATTCCAACAGGAGCGTGGATATTCCACTCACCTTCTGTCACAGTAACTTTTAAAAGTGTAGCTAGTATATATCCATTGTTGAGGTGGGTTTAAGGGATGTAAAGTCAGTCAATATACTTCATGATGCTATCGAGCAGTGAGCTTTATTCCCTAAGACTTATATTATAGCTTTACCTAAACCTCTAAAACTGCGAAGACCATGAAATCTCTAGAAACTCGAAAGGTGAATATTTCAGACTCACCATATTGACCGGGTGAGGTTAAATGAATAGATACATTAGGATCCTCTATGCATGTCTTATAAACACACAGCAGATACTGTAGTTTTGGCTAGTAAAGCTTGTCATTCGAAATGACGGATGTGGACATTGCAACGTCCAGTGTGTCATTCGTAACGCGATTTCAGAAGATTAGGGATATTATTCCGTGAATTGATATCGTTGATGAGTTGTGAAAGAGAAGTACGAGGAAAGCTTAAAAGGCAAAGATGTGGGAAATTGATAATGGTATAATAGAAAAAACCTCTCTTTTTGTTTTTCTGTTTGGCATTGGTTCCTTCGCACCGGCTAGAAAACGACATGTCACCGGTACTGGATAACTAAGATGTTTCTCAGTCTGACTATTGATAAAGACAGTATCATTGCACAGCACTGGTTATCAACAGTGGAAGATGTGAGAAGGCTTCAAGTGTTTGACTCCTGTTGCCTTCGTAGTATAGGACGTATTTCCGTGGTGTCACCACACAACGTCAGTAATGCAGAAGTCAGGAAAAGAGTTGTAGGGAGTATAGGCAAATCAGTAGACGAGTTATAAACCTTCATCGATTGAGATGGTTGGGACACGTACTGTGTATGCCTATTCGCCGATTGCCTCATCACACAATGTTGGCCGAAGTAGGCTCAGGCTGGAAAAAGGCCCGAGGTGTCCAGACTAAAACATGACACTAATGTATGAAGTCTCTGACTGTTAGTCTGAACCATGTGGGGTGGCGATGCAGACTAGGTGGTTAGGGTCGGCGGGACAAGAGGAACCAGTGGTTGGAGACTCTACGGGATATGGCTGAGAACTGATGTGAGTGGTGCAGATCTATCCCCCCACACACATTATCCTCATCTAAACGACGCCATACCGAATCTCACCATTTTGTCATCCCTCTTCTCTTTCTTCTCGTACTTTATATTTCTTTTGACTGCATTCACTTATCTTCATCCTTCCTCTTACTACCTTTCTACTTGATGTAGTGATATGAGGTGTGGCAAGTGGGGACCGTTACGCAGTAATGCCTGGTCCTGTGTTGATATTGATTGATTGACAGAGAACACTTTACTACTGTCACACCCCCATGCGATCAGTAGCACCACTTCTCCCTCGAAGACTCACTGTAGAGTAGTTATTTAAACCATGACAGTAACTGTCATCACCAATAGGCAACAGACATTCGTAGTACGGTAGGGCGTTGTAGAATAACTCTTCTAACCAGCATAGATCATTGGGTCAACGTATTATGCACGCCCTGTAGTCACCTCAATGTAGCAGCTATCAGCTGCGTACAAGAAAATGTGAGTGAAATGACTGATTGGTAAACACAGCCCAAATGGTTATTCTTCAATTCAGAAAAGAGAAAGAAAATGAAATTAGAAGAACAGGGCAACAGAATAGTGAAAACGCAACGAGAGAAGATAATTAATGTACATCTTCGATACTGTCAGTTCTCAACTGCCCTACCAATACTTTACAATTTCGCATTTGTACTAAGCTCGATATATATATACTGTATGAAGAACAGAAAGACTGTCACTTTGAGGAATCTACTTGACACAGTTGTTGTCGCCTAAGGAGGATCATATAATATTTCGGTTCGATTATCTTATTTTCACAGTCTACTCCAACAACAACAAGCTCCAATCAGCATCAACGGGGAAAACTTAAAGGAAGTAGTCTTCTTCGCCTATCTAGGCAGCATCGTTACAACTACAGGCAGCGGTGGCACAGACTAGGACGTCAAAGGAAGACAGGCGTTCATTAACCTGAAACCAGTGTGGAGATCTTCTGCACTCAGCATAAAGCGTGAACAACATACGAATTTTCAACACTAATTCAGTGAAGTCCGTGCTTCTATATAGTTCAGAGACTTGGCGCGTTACGAAAGGGATTTACAACAAACTATCGACACACGTCATCAACAACTGCCTACGCTGGCTCGTTACTGAAGCTCAGATAGATTACCAGAAAGAATTAGCAACAAGAAACTCTGACCTGGTAACGAACCAAACAACAACCTATCACTCAACAAATATGCACTGGAAGGAAGTGGAGATGGTTTGTATATTGGGCATACACTGAGAAGGTCGATTGGGTACATCACGCACCACGTCAGTCCCTCGAGTGAAACTCAGATAGGAAACGGCGAGTTGGGCGTCCGTGGCGAGGGTGACATGGACGAGATGGTGTGAGGAAGAAATGAAAGCTTGTGGGCAGTCGTGGAGCCAGGTTCAAAAGACTACAGAGAAGAGAGTGGAAGTGAGAAGTGAAGCCGTATGTTCTATTAGGAACCCAAGAGACAAATAATAAATAATACTCCAACTACCATAGAAAACATTGTAGTGAGTATTCAAGATGCACGCAAGTGTATGAACCGTCTCAAACAAGTTCTGATAGTACCAATTTGTAGACACTTATCAGTTACATGCATGTAAAATTAAGAATTCAAAGAATGATATATATGAAGAAAAAGAAACTTACAGGAGTTGGGATACCACCAGCTTGAATAAGTAACTTCAGTGCATCTACGCATCCATAACGAGCAGCATGATGTAATGCAGTATCGCCTAGTTCATTAGTCTGTTTCAAACTACCACTAAAAATGGAACGAAAAAAAGTAAGAACAGAAATTATACCATAATAAATAAACGTGACTAGTTACGCTTTGCTGTAACTGAAAACTTGTATCCACTGTAAGAGTATGTCTTGAGAGTTAATAAAGATCAAGATAGCACCTGTTTACTTAAGATTGATGAAGATTTTATTTACGGAATGATGTTAGTTAAGGAATCACTGAAAATCTAGAAGCACTAGACAGAAGTTTCATTCTAGTATGAAGCTTTTCAGCAGTACGTAGTCATGACTCTTATGAGCTATGGATCGAATTCATGACATACAAGTTTCATGGGGAATGCCAATGGGGCCGGAGTTAAACGGTCCACAAGCTTTCTCTACTTCAATCAACCCTTGATATATAGGGATTATCATTCAACTTCTTCAGTTAGCATCCATTTCACTTCTGACTGGTTAACGCCACAGGTCATGGATTGTTATTAGAACACCAAGCTATTTGGCTGAATAATTAACTTCGTCGTGAAACTTGAAGGTCTTGAGTTCGACTCCTGGCGTACAACAGTCATGCCGCACACTACGATAGTACATAAATATATGCATAGTGAGCATGAGATATAATTATAAACTGGTAACAGCAGTTTTCTTATTTGATTGACAAATGCAACATATCGATACAAGTTGTTTGGTTTGTAAAGAGAAGAAAAGTGGTGAATACAAAGCAGGGTAACGATGAGGATACTAATAACAAAAGTGAATCTGGGAAAATACTCGTTAAACACAACCAAAGAAAAAATAAGATAACAGCCCGACTATTCTAAACACAAGTAATGAGATCATGAATCGTAAAGTCGATTTTCAACTGTATTACTACTGCCACAACTACAGGGGAATCATATGTGCCACTTCGGAGATTTTACAGACCACAAAACAGTCTATATTGACAAATAGAATGATTAGGGCGCTTAATTTATCATTGTCCAATGTTGTATTAGACAACAATATGAACCATTAGCTTAAGGAGCCGACTTTCAACCAACAGGTCATCAGTTTGAGCACCGCTTTATCTACCGAGGTTTATCCAACAGTCGCCAGCTGGTAACATTAGTCCTGTTACAATAGATATGACCAATTACCAACTACTGTATGAATATCCACAAGGTTGCTGAACAGATTTCAACTCTTTGATGACTTCTAAGCAAGAACTATTGAAAGATGTTAGAAGACAGGCACGAAGGAAGGAGTCTGTATTGTCAACAAGTGGGACAGTAGTCATTAAATGTGGTACACCTTGCACTAAAAGCATCATTTGCAAAATGTGCTTCATTTCCCCTTCTGCTTCTTTTTTGATTTGCTTTTCATAAGCTTACCTTGTCACTTGCGTTTCCCTTGGTGAAATTCTTACCCATTTGCTGGTAATTCCCTATGATTTCTCCAACCTCTCAACATATACTACTTAGAAAAAGATTCATTGAGTGAAGAAGTGTATATTCTTTGTCAATTAGGTCCGTCTTCATCTTGAGCTCTACACTTACATTGCATAGTATTACAATTTAATCAAATTACCAATCATGTGGTCATATCTCGGAAATAATCATGTCAATAATCAATAGGAGTTACTCAAATTGGAAATATGAATATTGATAGAAACAAGGGGAATGGGAAGAGGTGTACTAAGTAAACCTAGAAGTTACATCATGTTGTGACGGTGGCCACAATAATGAAAGTGGTTGAACAAACTTCTTATGGATACAAAAACTAGGTTTGTGAAGGTGGATTGCAATCACCTCTGCTATGTGAAGTAACCGAGTGCGTAATCCATGTGGTAAATTAATTGGAATCTGATGGATGATTTTGAAGGCTTTCCTAGCATCCACTTGATGTCTTGTGTCAACTAAGTGTGCAAGTATGCAGGTATTTATTGTTCCAATTTATCCCTTGTTCCACCATCATGGGTGGTGCTCAGAAATTCGACGATGGACCTACCTCATTTTACACCCAATATGACTAGCTCCACAGGAGCAGTTGGATTAATAAATGCACATGGAAGTGGCAGAATCAGGCAGTTTGTCTTTATTTCTTGCACCTAGAATCAGGCGGTTGTAGAAGGCCGGACATAATTCAGCGGCTAGGAATGCTTTTATGCAAGACTCTTTTTATGCGTTTTGTGATGATCTCACTAGCAATGTCACTATTGAATTCCAGCTTCAAGAAGATTTACTTCTTATGAACTGTTGGCATTGTTGTCTTAACCCTCGTTATATGCATGTGCTTAGTCACAAACGTGTCTGGGTAACCATTCCTCCTAAGCAGATCACGGATGGTGGTGCACTCTTCCTTTATAGCATCATTTGAGCAAATAACTGTGGTACGGTATGCTAAGCATTTCACTAGGTTCCTTTTGTATTGGAGGGGTACAGCACTAAAGAAGTACTTACATTGACCTGTTGATGTTGGCTTTCTATAAACAGTTCGTCTCAGGTTTCCATCTGACCTTCTTACCAACATAACATCAAGAAATGGGATACTGTCATTTTCCTCCGCTTCCATTGTGAAGTTGATTGCTGGTTGAAAGCTACTGAACTTATTCAGAACAGCATTCTTATCAGTCTCACTTTTCAGAAGTATAAAAGTATCACCCATGTGACGGCAATATAACTGTAAACGGCTAATAGGATCGTTCAGTGGACTATTCTCAAGTTTTGCCAGAAAAAAATGTGCTAAGAGAGGGCCAAGGGGTGATCCTATAGCAACAGCATCAGATTAGCGGTAGAATTCATTGTTGAAAAGAAATTGTGCATTCATCGTACACCTCAGAAGTAGTTCTTTCAATGTGTAGACTGGAATACTTATTTCCATGCCATGCTTCATGAGTTCGTTGCAAATAAAGTCTACTGTCTCCATTAAAGGAATGTTAGTAAAAAGAGGCTTCAATAGTTGTACTAACCATTTTGCTGTTGTATGATACAGATAGTTAGTCATATCAAGAACTGGTTGAAGAGGCAAACCGTTTCTATGCAGTTTTGGTAGACTGTAAAGTCTAGGTGTAATGGTTCCAATAGGTTTCAGCATTTCGAAGATGCTTTCTAAAATGAAACCCTGTTGTTTTATCTTTTTCAGTGATTCGGTTAGATGTTTGTTGGTTTTCCCTGTTGTATCACCATAAGCGGCTAATTTCTGAAATTTACTTTCATCATTTTATCCATGTACTCTTTCCTGATCCTATATGTGGCTTGGCAATCACGATATTCGCACTAGTTTTAAGTTTTTTCAAGGTTTCTCCTCATACTGTTCCTACTAGTCGTGTACTTTAGGTAAGAGTCAACGAGTATAATCTTAAGTCTATCAGCATCTTCACTAGATGATGGAATATTCAATATACTACTTATATCCATTCTTATCAGCAACGCCAACTACACTATGACTTCAACTAGTTATAAAATTGATATTCCCTCCCACGTCCCCCACCCATTTTCTTGATTACATCTGTGATATGATGATAATATTAAAGGATCACTATGATGGAAAACAATCGAAATAACCAAATTAAATTTATAAATTTCGATAAATTAACTTGAGACTTCAAGTAATTAGGATAGGCTTGTCTGCCACCTCTTTATGAAGTTTAGTGCACAGGATATCATTAGGCCTAGTGATGAAACGTTTCATGCTTAGGTGAGATAATAAATAAACTACCATCGTCTTCATTTTTTTGTTTTTAACATTTCAGAGATGTTTTGAAAACTGTTTCTACGCTATTCTAAAACCACGGCATATTCATATCGAGGTGACAATTTAAAATCTGGTAACGACTGAAGGCCATGACATTTACACTAACCGATGAAATTATTATGAGAGATTTAAAAATTCCTATCATGTAAATTAGAACAAGACACATAAGCGGAAAACAGTTTTTTTTTCTCAAATACATCCTCTTCAGCCTTTACTCAAATACAAATAGCCATATATATTTACCTGAAAATTAAATCAGCCATTTAGATTTGTCAGTTAATGTGCTAAATCATTTAACTATCTGAGAGAGCAGCCATGGTTTGTCGACTAGAATTTATACTAGGTGATGATTGAAGGTAAAATGAAAATTTGAACCATTGTCGGATTCGAACCAGCGACCACTAGGTTTGTAAACCCCCCCCCTGACCAACGAGATCTGATTGCTGACTATATTCCTTTCCCATCAATTCAATCACCATCGGTTTTGCCCAATGACAATCAAGTGGATTTGTGATGTATAACTACTGCTCGATTGTTTTCACAGTGGGTGTCTGCAGTCAGGACTTCTCAACCCAACTCAAGTCTAACTAATTGCTAGTTTGCGAAACCACAACTGCTATCTTAGATAGTCAAAATGATAAGTAATATAATGCTCCTCTTCTCATTCCAACTCATTTACCACGGAATACGGCATATACTATGAAGACAACGGTGGTCAAACATCTGAAGCCCACCTTCTCATGTCTCCTAACTTCAACCGACATGTTTCACAACCTTAGAGTACAACAAAGAGGATTGCTGTGCAATATATGCTCCCCTAATAGACAATCGGATATCATGGCGGTGCCACAGGTGGTGTAAGTTGGCAAAAGCCAGCTGTGCCATTTCTATTCGTGCAGAGATTTCATCAGCCACTGACCAACGCACAAAGATTGATCCTACTTCCCAGTTAAGTTAAGTAAGTAGTAGACACACACTCAACCACTATACTCACTCTCCATTGTTAGCCGCGGTGGGGCACCGTTGAAAACCAACCCTGCAGCAACAATTTGCATTTCCGTGGTGAGAAACGCATCCCAAACATTCTCAAATTACTACTCAGTGTTCAGAAGACTCTGCATCCTGTCAGCTTCTTCACCTAACAGGACTATGTCATCTGCGTATTCTAGGTCTAGCGAAAATTCTTCTGGGATTAGGTCAACCTCTGTGTAATCAGGTGACGAGTGGGAGACCTCCATAAAAATATCTATGATAAAAGTGAATAAGAATGGAGACTGTGCGCAACCTTGACGGACACCACTCGACGAACACAGCTTCTCGGGCATCTCACCATAGGTTCTAACCTGCCCGTAAATGTTCGAGTAGAGAGTCTTCAATAAAGTGATGTACTTACTCGGGACGCCTTTCAGTGTGAGATGTTGTCATAAGACTTCTCGATCAATGGTGTCGAATGCCACCGCCTTCAGGTCGAGAAATATACTAACCGACAAATCTACATGGCTGTTTTGATTTCCACGTATATATGTTCAGCTATTTGTATCAAGTTAAAGCTTGAAGAATGTCTAATTGGAAACTATTATAGTTTTAGCTAATTGAAATCTTGATTGTATTGTGTTCTCTGAAGAGCTGGGTTGTTTAATCGTGCAGAAGCTTTCATCATCTTTCTAGACAGTGACATCATCAACACTAACTTCACTATCAAGTCCGTTGTCAATATCTCTCCATGAATGATTTATTGGCTTGCTCTGACGAAGTGGTCTGTGATTGGTTATTTCCTTCGATTGTTGTGTCATTGACTGACTGCATACATTTTCTTGTTAGCTGTTCTACTGCTTGACCTCTGACCTTCCCGTCATTTATCACTTTACTGATTGGTTGATACATTCAGTCTATGGATATACATCTGTTGATTGTTGACTGATTGGCGTGGATCTCAAGCTTCTAGGAATTCTCTGATGATACTCTGTGTTTCCTCTGTCCAAAATTTCTACATTGTCAAAATTCAATTCATATCCACAGTTATCCAAGTTCATTGAACGATGAGCAACGAAATATCTTGATGTTTAATAGTCAATTAGTGTTCATATAGACGAAGACGAAGGTGGGCGACCCCTTTGTCCAATATACTGTTGGCTACAGTTATTCCAGTTGATTTTGTAAGTGATATTAGGTTTATCTTCTTTGCTTGTTGCATCCTTCGGTCTGCATAATAGTCTTTGGTGGGGATTTGTTGGTTTATGAACCACACTAATCCCATCAAGTGGTCTCAGTAATCTTGTCATGATTTCTGATATATTCTTTAAGTACGGTAGGATAATCCATATGTTGATTTCTGTCGATAACTTTGTAGTTGATGGTATACGGGATAGGCATCTTCTGATGATATCGTCTGGAAGGACAATGAAAGCTTCATGCTTAAACAACCCAGCTCAGAGAACACAGTACAACCAAGACGATCCACCCGAGTTACAAATATTCTCCACTATTTCATAATTGAAATCACTTGATTTCAAGTTTTATCTATAATTTTTCGACATTATTCATATTATCAATGAAATATACTAGCATAATACCAATTTATATTTCTCAAGGTAAAAACAAAAGAACAGAGGAGAAACATTTCATCGGTTAGAAAAAGATTTGTAAATACTCCAAAACCATACCAGATTACTATTGCAAGGATATCTACCTGTATGCGATTGTGAATTTCTCTACTAGCTAACTGACTGAACTGTTATCATCTAAGTTATACACGATTTTGTGTTGAGTTTCGAAATGAGAACAAATACTAACAGAACACTAGCTGTCAACTTCTCACCTATGCTTTTCAATTTGTTGAAATATTCCATATTGAAAATTCCAATCTGTATAATACATGTTGTCTGGAATAAAGTGACTATTATTACTATTGTTATTTATATAATGAAGTTTTTACAATGCGTTACACATAATCTGTAGAAATTTGAGAATGTAGAACGTAGACTTTGTACTCACACACTTTTGGCAATAAGCATCGCCAAATACGCCAACTAGATATTCAACGCCTTTCATTGACTATCTTTTAAAGTGTCATGAAGACTACCGAGCTCAGTGATGCCTTTCAAATGAACATGGGAGTAAAACAAGACTGTCTACTATCACCCATTAACTTCCTGATTATAGTGGACTGGATCATGCAACAAACAGTGAGGAGCGAGAAGAAGGGGAAACGCTGGACCGCAGAAAAGAACCTAGAAGGTTTGGATTTTACCAGTGATGATTTATGTCTAATGTCGCACAAACTGTAAGATCAACAGACGAAGACTAACAAGTTGACAGAAGAGGCAGGAGAGTGCAGCGAAGGGAGACGGGACTTCAAGTGAATGTAGAGAAGACAGAGGTGATGAAGATACGCAATGAACAACAGCATGAACAACAAGCTGCAATCACGATGAACGGGAGAAACTTAAAGGAAGTAGACTCTTTCACCTACCTATCTAGGCGGCACTGTTTCAACTACAGGCAGCGTACGCACAAACGAGGACGTCAAAGCCAGCCAGGATGGGAAAGACAGCAAGACAGGCTTTCATTAATCTGAAACCAGAGTGGAGATCTTCTGCACTCAGCATAAAGCGTGAACAACATCCAGATTTTCAACACCAATTCAGTGAAGTCTGTGTTTCTATATGGTTTAGAGACTTGTTGCGTTACGAAAGGGATTTACAACAAATTATCGACACACGTCATCAACAACAGCCTACACTGGCTCGTTACTGAAGATCAGACGGCCAGAATAATAGGAATAAGCAACAAGGAAACTCACTCTAGCAACGAACCAACGAGGCAAGAACCTATCACCCAACAAATATGCACTGGGAGGAAGTGGAGATGGTCTATTTTGGGCATACACTGAGAAGGCCGACTGGGGACATCACGTATCAGGCTGGTCACTCGAGTTGAACCCACCAGATGGGAAACGACGAGTTGGGCGTCCTAGCTGTGGGTGACATGAAGGAGATCGTGCGAGGAAGAAATGACAGGTTCTAGGCTGTAGTGGAACCAGGTTCAAAAGACTGCAGAGAACAGAGTGTACCCTATGTTCCATAAGGAACCCAAGGGACAAATAATATAATAATAATAATCATCAAAAAGGATGATAGTTCTATAAGTACACTGGTTTCTACACACTTTTTGGAAGAAAAGTATATGAAAAATAATAACCAACTTACGATGAAGAATTTTGTATAATGAATTCAACTAAAGGAAGATTACAATGTAATGGCTTCTCTTCATCAACAGTATCAACTTGCGACCATATTGTTTCATTACCATAGAAATTAAGGAAGGAATCAGTTGTCTCATCATATTGTTCATTTGATAATTTATCACGATGATGATGATGATGATGATGTAATTTTGACTTGTTAAGCAGTTTATTCGTTGTCTCTATAGCTATGTGTAATGATGTAGTTCTTGGTAAAGGTGAACCAGAATTATCAGTATCATTATCATCATCATCTTCTGGTTGAAATGGAGTCATTAGGTCTAATCGTTCAGCATAAACCTAAAAAAGTGATACAATACAACACATGAAAATCTAACAGACTAATGAATCAAGAAAATATTATAAGGGAAGAAGTGAAATTATTCAAAAATAATATATATTCAACTTGAAAAGAAGACGATTCAATTTTACGATGTGTTTATACATTTCATACTTATTGATTATTATTTTTCTCTTGGGTTCCTAGTGGAACATAGGGTTTCAGTAGCACGCTTCCATTACACTCTCTTCTCTGCAGTCTTTTCAACCTGGCTCCACGACTCCCTACAAGCTGTCATTTCTTCCTGACATCATCTCCTAAATGTCACTCTCACCTTGCACGCCCAACTCGTCGTTTCCCATCTGGGTTCCACCTGAGTGCCTGACGCGTGATGTCCTCAGTCAGCCTTCTCAATGCATGCCCAATCTATCTCCTCTTCCTTCCAGTGCATATTCGTTGAGCAACAGCTTCTTGGTTGGTTCGTTGGCAGGCCAAAGTTCCTCCTTGCTTATTCTTTCTGGCCACCCATCTGATCTTCAGTATCGAGCCAGCGTAGGTGGCAGCTGTTGATGTATATCTGTACTTTGTTGGAAATGGTTTTCGTGACACACCAAGTTTCTGAACGACTGCAGAGAAGCACTGACTTGACTGAATTAGTGTTGAAAATTCGGATGTTGTTCATGCTTTATGCTGAGTGCAGTAGATCTCCATACTGGTTTCAGATTAATGAACGCCTGTCTTGCTGTCTTTCCCATCCTGGCTGGCTTTGACATCGTCGTCTGTGCCTAGGCCGCCTGTAGTTGAAATGATGCTGCCTAGGTAGGTAGGTAGGTAGGTAAGTAGGTAGGTAGGTAGGTAGGTAGGTAGGTAGGTAGGTAGGTAGGTAGGTAGGTAGGTAGGTAGGTAGGTAGGTAGGTAGGTAGGTAGGTAGGTAGGTAGGTAGGTAGGTAGGTAGGTAGGTAGGTAGGTAGGTAGGTAGGTAGGTAGGTAGGTAGGTAGGTAGGTAGGTAGGTAGGTAGGTAGGTAGGTAGGTAGGTAGGTAGGTAGGTAGGTAGGTAGGTAGGTAGGTAGGTAGGTAGGTAGGTAGGTAGGTAGGTAGGTAGGTAGGTAGGTAGGTAGGTAGGTAGGTAGGTAGGTAGGTAGGTAGGTAGGTAGGTAGGTAGGTAGGTAGGTAGGTAGGTAGGTAGGTAGGTAGGTAGGTAGGTAGGTAGGTAGGTAGGTAGGTAGGTAGGTAGGTAGGTAGGTAGGTAGGTAGGTAGGTAGGTAGGTAGGTAGGTAGATGAAAGGGACTACTTCCTCTAGGTTTCTCCTGTCAATGGTAATTGGTGTTTGTTGTTGATGCTATCGTTACCTATATATTATATAATAAAGTAGCTCAACCAGGTAAATATTTATACATCAAACAATGAAACATTCTCCTTGATTGATATCACATGATACCACCTCAATTATGTGAAGTAGGATTCGAAGTCAGTACCAATGGCTAAGAAGTGGAGTTCACAAGCTATCGAGCCGAATTTTTATTTCAAGCAAAATTTTACCCTTCTGTATTTCTAAAATCATTTATTTATGTCATCTAATTGTGTTATACACCTTCGAGCATTTTTACATTCACTATAACCTATCACTTTACAAGTTGATAATCGAGTTAAGAAAAAAGCACCACAGTGGATGGCAATGGGAGCTCAAGCTTATGACTATTCTGGAAATACTTAGGCACAAAAACTTCAGGTCCTTACAGAAGAAAGTTGATTACCTTCAATCACTCTTATCCACAAATATTTATCGGAATACGGGTGTAATAATACTACAGGAAACATCACTCCATAACCTGTATGATGACGATTTAGTCTGCTTAAATAGTTTCAAATTATTATGGAAGGATCAATGCTTTTCCAAGAAGAAATGTGGTGAATGGTGTAGTAATATTTATCAATCCACTTCCAACTATGTTTGTTTCGGCCTGTCTAACGAAAAATTGAATGTCATCCTAAACATTTGAGTAAATACAAACATATAGACATAACAAACGTTTATGTCACACTTGATTGCAGTTTCCTCAGATTTGTCAACGTTTGATTATGAAGTTACTGAATCTGCTGCTCCGATTCTGCGTAACTCCTTGTCTATAGTCTGTGGAGATCTTAACTCATGTGACTGTAGTTAGTTTCCTAGTATCATTTGGTTATGAGAATGCCGTTACCTTCTCTACTCGTCTTGACAACATCCTAGACTTAGTATTTACACAAATGAACTTCGCATATGTGAAGCCCATAAACAGGCTCCACTGCTCAATTCTGACCACTGTACTGTACATGTTTTGTCTAAAGTGTACAGCAAATTACACAGGAAAGCTTTCGGATATCTTTTCAAGAAAGTTCAGTACAGATATTATTCACATGAGAATATAATACATTTGAGAAGCATACTCTGAGAAACAAACTGGAATATATTTGTTGATGAACAACACTGTCACCAATATTACAAGCTATCTCATATATTCTATCTCAATATATATTCCCCTGTTTAAATAATCTACATGAGATTTCACAGATTTTTCTCCTCTCCTAATTTCATCTAAAGGGTCTCTGGAGAGAAAAGAAAAGGTTGCATAAGGCGTTAAAAGACTTAACTGCCCAGTTAAGTCTGAGTGATGTTTACAACCAGAAGTTCCTATTGTGTAAGAACTTTTCCAAACAGGTAACAAAAGAGGCTTGTTTGAATGTCTAAAGGTTAAACAACTTATTCATACGTCAGCAAGCTGATATGATCCATCTTAACTACTATCTATAGTCAAATGGATAGCTAGGTTTCTGGCTTTCAGATATCTTTTTGAAGAAAGTTCAGTACAGATACCATTCAATATATGAATGAAATTTGATGACAGTTACATAAACTCACTAAAGATTAATCATACTCTCTGTTTATGTTCAAATGTCAGATTGGAAGTGTTTCATTGGAATCAGTATCTTGAAGAGTAGTAATCCAAACATATTTTTTGTTGTTGTTCGCTTATTATTTTAGGAGCACTTAAAAATTCAGTTTGATGTTTAGATATCTATCTACGAGATGTTTGTTGATTGTGTTGGTTAGAATCTTGCTTCTTTTCAAGTACAAATTGTTTGAAATATGCTCAGCGAATCGAATAGATGCTATTCCTCTCCTCTAACTTCTTTCAATGTATTTATCACAACAATCGGATGTAAATTTATAAATCTAATTAGAGATGATAGAAGCAAGGTGTATTCATTCAATTTTGACTGGTTCAGTGAGTATACGATATGGTATACTGATGTAAATTAGGCTGCAAGAAACCTTCTTTTAAGTGCTTCTTTGATTTTTGCGTCTGTTCTCTCGGATACTGAAGCTCCATTAAACGTAGGAGGAGGGGGAATAAAAACCTTTTCAGCAGTTCTTTTTCTTACTTCATAATAAATCGCTTTATTATTATTATTTGTCCCTTGGGTTCCTAGTGGAACATAGGGCTTCAATAGCACGTCTCCATTCCACTCTCTTCACTGGCTCTACGACTGCCTACAGGCTCTCATTTATTCCTCACACGATGTCCTCCATGTGACCCTCATCTAACACGAACAACTCGTCGTTTCCCATCTGGGTTACACTAGAGTGTCTAACACGTGATGTCCCTGAATGGTCTTCTCAGTGTATGCCCGATCCCATCTCCACTTTCTTCTGCATATTTGTTGGGTGCTGCAACAACCTTGTCTTATTCCTTCCTGCCTTCACTTCAAAGGCATCATTTGACATTTAGCATCCTCATATAGCATATAGCTACTGTTGAGTGAGGTTGATGTGGGTTTGTAGCACTAAAGGCATAGTGTTCGAAACAGCTGCAAAATTACCTATCAATTGACTCTATCGAAGGCTTTTTCAGAGTGGATGAAGTTGAGGTAGGGAGTTGACAGCCATTCTATGCTCTGTTCTATGATAATACATAGCGTGGCAATTCCATCCCAACATGATTCGTTCTTCCTGAAGCCAACCAGCTTGTTCTGGTCGTAGTTTTGAATGCAGCGCATTTTTCAGCTTGAGGTGGACAGCAGCATGATTCCGCGCCAGTTCTTGTTCTTGCAAAGACTTAGGTCACCGTTCTTTGGGAGTTTGACAAGGTATCCCTTTTTCCAACCCACAGGTACTCACCCTACCTTTCCTTCCATACAAGCCTTCTGTAATAGTGGTGTAAGCATGTCTGCTGTTATCTCTGTGTCTGTTTTCAGTGTTTCCGGAGGATTTCTATCTGTTCCTGCTGCTTTCTCGGCTTTCAGCAACTTTATGGCATTCAGGACTTTGCTTTGTTGAAGGGCTTCTGTTCATTGATAGTTCTACGATTTCCGGTGGTATTTGTGGACGAGGCACATATGGTGGAAAGTACCCGTTAACCTTAAACTATCCATCCATCCATAGAAATCAACATAGTACCACGCATTACTGCGCAACACTCCAAAAGAGAGAAATGAAGAATGAGAAAGTAGTAAGATTAGTCAATGCCTGAAGATGAGATATATATATGGGTTCTCAGCCACGATGCATCACTTACACTCAGTCTCCAATAACTAGTTTCTCTCATCCCACCGACACCAACCACACACTCCCCATCGCCCCACATGGTTCAAACCAACAATCAAACAATTCATACATTCATACCATGTTTTAGTCTGGCTGACAGCCAAAAGCCCTTTTACAACCTACATCTACTTCGCAAAACATTGTGTGATGACGCAATCGGTCACTAGGCATACGTAACACATGTCTCAGCCTGAAATCTCAAACTATCAAGATTCACAACCCCATCAACTCTTATACCTCTTCTCCATCACTAAAACTCTACAAATGACTTCTGCGTTACTCACGTGGTGTGGTGACACAACGGAATATGGTATATACTACGAAGGCAACGCCGGTCAAATATCTGAAGCCCGCCTTCTCATGTCTCCCAACTTCAACCGACATGTCTCACAACCTTAGAGTACAACAGAGAGGATTGCTGTGCACTATATGCTCCCCTAATAGACAATCGGATATCATGGCGGTGCCACAGGTGGTGTAAGTTGGCAAAAGCCAGCTGTGCCTTTTGTATTCGTGCAAAGATTTCAACTAACCTCGCCTGGTTAACTAGTTTACTAGTTACTAGCCGGTCCTAAGCCCGGGTAAAGAGGGAAGGTTGGGCATAGGGCTAGCAACCCTACCCCGTATAACAAATCTAACCGCTAAAGAAACTTCAAAGCACAAACAAAATATAAAAAATGAAAACAAACTTATTCCCCGCTGGAATCGGAGAGGCGAAATGATGCCAGTTGGTGAAAGCCTTCGGGAAGCCAATTGGCCGATGTGTCTTCTCTCGATGAAAGCGAAAGTAAACGTGGGGACATGGAATGTCCGCACGATGTTTGAACCCAGTAAGGCAGCCCAGATTGCAAGGGAGATGAGAAGGTATAACATCGAAGTGCTTGGGATCTGCGAAAGCAGATGGAATGGGAGTGGACTCTCCAAACTGTCAACTGGAGAATCAATAATCTACTCCGGTCACCCAGACGCCAACCACGAGCACACTGAGGGAGTGGCTATCATGATGTCCTCAAGAGCATCGAAGGCTCTCATGCAGTGGGAACCAATCTCCTCCAGGATCATGACAGCAAGATTCAACTCAAAAGGAAGAAAGGTCACAATCATACAATGTTATGCACCTACAAATAATGCAGAGCAAGAGAAAAAGGAGGAATTCTACAGACAACTTCAATCAACACTGGACAAGACGTCAGTTGGCGATATCAAAATTCTGATGGGCGACATGAATGCCAAACTGGGAGGGGACAACACGGGAAGAGAACTAACCATGGGTCGAGAGGCACTAGGTGAAATGAATGAGAATGGAGAATTGTTTGCAGAATTCTGTGCATCCAACGATTTGGTGATTGCAATGAGGCACTGTGTTCAAGCACAAGGATATCCACAAAGCGACATGGATTTGATTTCACCAGATGGACACACTAAAAATCAAATCGACTTTATCTCAATCTCAAGAAAGTGGAGACGCAGTCTACTTAACACAAGGTCAAGAAGAGGAGCAGATGTAGGTTCAGACCACTATCTAGTGCAAGGAACCTTCCAAATCAAGTTAAAAGCCTTCAAGGAAGCTGGTGATAGACCTCAATTCAAGTACAATACTCGGAAACTGAAGGATGAAACTACAAAGGAGATCTTCAAAGCAGCCATCAAGACAAAATGGGAGACGTCGAGGGACATCCCTGAAGAAACCTGTGTGGAAGAACACTGGAAGTCTTTGAAAGCTATGTGGAAAGAAACCTGCACAACAGTATTAGGAAGGAAGAAGAAAGAAGACAAGGAATGGATCTCGACAGATACCTGGAAGCTGATAGAGGAGAGGAGGATGGTGAAGCAGAAGATAAACCAGTGCAAGGATGCTCAACGACAAGAGGAACTGAGCACAATGTACAAAACACTGGATAAAGAAGTGAAGAAGAGTGCACGCAAAGACAAAAGACACTTCTACGAAACACTGGCAAGTGAAGCAGAACAGGCTGCTGACTGGTAGGAGAGAGACCTGACGACATTGTATCAAATAACCAGGTTGCTATCAGGGAAGAGACCAACACAGATGAAACCAATAAAAGATGAAGAAGGAAATTTAATTACAAAAGAAGAGAAACAGAGGAAACGATGGGCCGACCACTTCAAGAAGCTCTTGAATCGACCACCACCTGCACTTCGTCCAGAAATACCACCTACAGCCCAACCACTGAATTAAAAGTGAACATAAATCCTCCAAAGAAAATGGAAGTCCTGAACGCCATAAAGCTACTGAAATGCGGGAAAGCAGCAGGACCAGATGGGATACCGCCAGAAGCACTGAGAACAGATGCAGAGACAACAGCGGACATGCTCACACCACTATTGCAGAAGGTGTGGAAGGAAGAGAAGGTACCTGACGATTGGAAGAAGGGTTACCTTGTCAAACTGCCGAAGAAGGGAGACCTCAGTGCTTGCAAGAACTGGCACGGAATCACTCTCCTGTCCACCCCAAGTAAAATATTAAGCCGCATCATCCTAGAGAGGCTCAAAGACGCACTGGATTCAAAACTACGACCGGAACAGGCAGGCTTCAGGAAGTACAAATCATGTGCAGACCAAATTGCAACGCTACACTACGCATCATCATAGAACAGAGCATAGAATGGCAATCAGCTCTCTACCTCAACTTCATCGACTTCGAGAAGGCCTTTGACAGCGTCGACCGGGAAGTAATTTGGAAACTGCTTCAATACTACGGAGTACCGCAAACCTTTATCAGCCTCATTCAACAACTATATGAAGATGCCACATGCCAAGTAATTCACAATGGGAAGCTCAGTGATGCTTTTGAAGTGAAGACAGGAGTGAAACAAGGTTGCCTACTATCCCCCATGATATTCCTTATTGTGGTCGACTGGATCATGCAGCAAACAGTAGGCAGCGAGAAGAGGGGGATACACTGGACAGCCGAAAAGAACCTAGAAGACTTGGATTTCGCCGATGACTTATGCCTAATGTCACATAAACTTGAAGATCTGCAGGCAGAAACTAACAAGTTGATAGAAGAGGCAGCGAGGGAGGACGGGACTTCAGGTGAATATAGAGAAGACAGAGGTGATGAAGATACCGCACCACCACCATCAGCAACAACAACAAACTCAAATCACCGTCAACGGGAGAAACTTAAAGGAAGTAACCTCCTTCACTTATCTAGGAAGCACTGTTTCAACTACAGGCGGGACGGACGAGGACGTCAAAGTCAGAATCGGAAAAGCAAGACAGGCGTTCATTAGCCTGAAACCAGTGTGGAGATCTTCTGCACTCAGCATGTGGAACAACATCCGGATTTTCAACACCAACGTCAAGTCAGTGCTCTTGTATGGTTCAGAGACTTGGCGCGTCACGAAAGGCATTTCCAATAAACTACAGACATTCATCAACAACTGCCGCCTACACTGGCTCGCTACTGAAGATCAGATGGATTGGCAGAAAGAATAAGCAACAAGGAACTCTGGGAACGAACCAACCAAGAACCTATCACCCAACAAATATGCAGGTGGAAGTGGAGATGGATTGGCCATGCACTGAGAAGGCCGACTGAGGACATCACGCGTCAGGCCAGTTGCTCGAGTGGAATCCCCATGGGAAGCGACGAGTTGGACGTCCGAGGGTGACATAGAGGAGGTCGTGCGAAGAGGAAATGAGAGCTTCTGGGCTGTCATGGGACCAGGTTCAAAAGATCTCAGAGAAGAGAGGTCACTGGAGGCGTGCTACTGAAGCCCTATGTTCCACTAGGAACCCAAGGGACCAATAATAATAATAATAAAGATTTCAACTGCCACTGAGCCACCAGGGCAGTGCTGATCCTACTTCCCAGGTAAGTGAAGTGTACGTCAAACTAGATGCGAAATTGTCATTAACAGCTATCATGTGAGGACTTATACTACCACATACTTGAAGAAGTGAAACCAGAGATGTGGTTTGAAACAATGACTCAGTCAGTGATAGATAATTACTGAGTCAAAGATTGCGTAAACGTGACAATGTAATTACAGACATGATGATACTTGAAAATCAATAGTCATGGCGAAAACAAAATCTTGATTTTCAAGAACATTACGATGGAAAGGACACTTATAATGTATACAGTATTCTCTAAATATTCGCTATGTTCATGTTAAACTTCGGGTTGAACTTACACATTGTGAGTATGATACTATTCACATATTAGATCTAACCTATCACCAATCAATACCTGTGCTACAGTAATATTGTGACTCTATCCTGATGACTGATAATGTATTGTACAGGCAACCATGCACACCTATTACACAGGGACTACCTGGGTATCCAGATCGAAGTAGGCGGAACAATACCCTAAACCCTAACTCAATGAATCTTATCCCCAGGTACATCAAATGATGTAGATCATAAATCAATTTACTTTTCAAGTTAGTAGTCATCATGGTCCGACATTAATGAAAGGAACATTGAAAGCCTGGAAGCACTGAACAGCCAGCTGTTTCGTTCGACCAGTATGGGACTCCTCAACAATGCGTAATGACCCCGCCCATCCTTCAGGTTCCATGGTGTGCATTTTACCACCATCAAGCTACTGGGTCGGAATCCAGTGGTTCAGATTACCTACTTCTATCAGTACACAACATAGCGCAACCATTACTCAGTATCATCGTTGACTTCACGGCCATCAGGTTTGCTTCACTGGTCACAACTTATCATTGGAATATCATGAGGCACCTCTCGATACTAGTCATCAATGACCACCAATTGATACCAGTCCATGATGGACACCAACTTCAAAAAAAAAATTACTAACTCCCCACAAACCTCCAAATTACGCAACACTTCGTTCAAATGTTGCTGTATGTAAAAAAATATTAGTAAAAAAAATAATATACACATAAATAACCTATATAAAACATGCGTTTAGGGATATCACGTGTTAGGTCCTCGAGTGGAATCCAAAGAGAATGTGAAGAATCGGGCGTCCGAGGTGAGGGTGACATGCAGAAGATCATATGAGGAAGAAATCAAAGCTTCTGGGCAGTTATACAGAGAACAGAGTGAATAGCGATGTGCTACTGAAGCCCTTTGTTCCACTAGGAACCCAAAGGATAAATAACAATAATAATAATAATAATAGTAATAATACAGAACATGAGAAACTGACAGATAATAATTTGTTAACCTAATCTTTTATTACCTGTATTAATAATGGTAAATTGCCTGTTTTAACAGCTCTGAGTAGATCACGTCTTAAAAATCGCTGTGAAACAGGATCACGTGTTGATAGACAACTTCCAGTAGTAGTAGATATTGTTGTTGTTGTTGTTGTTATATCATCTGATTTATTATCATTATTGATATTATTATGATCTAATGTAGAATTCGATAGAAGTATTGAATGATCAGATGTAGTTTTTGTTATAAAACGTCGATCAACATACTTTGACTTGATGAATGCACGTCTTTGAGTCATTCCATCGATATCACTGAGAAAAAAAAGGAAGTGATAAACTCAATAAGTAACTGTTTGAAATGACTTCAATTGATAAATCAGTGATGTTATAACATTAGTGTATATAGGTGTTGTGCTATTTCGACTGCTACAAAATCGCCTGCCTTCACTCATCATACACTTGACCTAACAATCATTACATGGTATTCCATGGATTATATTCTTTTTCCCAGTTGACTATAATGGATCGTTTAGCGCCTACAAGTTTCTCTCTGAGTAAGTGTGAAGATTCAAATACCATCCTTATTCAAACCAGCATTGTTAAGAATTCTATGTGAAATTCCCGTTGGGCCTTCTTGATACAACAACACTATTGAGAATTTAAACAAGGTAAGGAGTCAACTGTAGAGACAATTTCCGATTCATATCTACAATACTGATGGCTGGCTTACCATGTGACTGACTGACAAAATCAATAAACAACCTCACATACAACTGCGTCACTTCAAAACAGTAACACAAGGAACAAGTGGATAGAAAATTATCCACATCAAAGTACACAGAGTTCTCTGACAGAATAACCGTTAGTGTGATGTCACCATTGACACTACTAACCAATTTCAAGTCATGTCGCCAACACTCCTCAAAAACTGTTCCTGTCGTCTCGCCGACCCCCACCAACAATCTAACATGTCATCCATTGGTGCCAGGTCCTGATGATCTGATCACCCTCAACCCTCTGCCAAGAAAAGGTGATAAACTCAATAAGTAACTGTTTGAAATGACTTCAATTGATAAATCAGTGATGTTATAACATTAGTGTATATAGGTGTTGTGCTATTTCGACTGCTACAAAATCGCCTGCCTTCACTCATCATACACTTGACCTAACAATCATTACATGGTATTCCATGGATTATATTCTTTTTCCCAGTTGACTATAATGGATAGTTTACCGCCTACAAAGTTTCTCTCTGAGTAAGTGTGAAGATTCAAATACCATCCTTATTCAAACCAGCATTGTTAAGAATTCTATGTGAAATTCCCGTTGGGCCTTCTTGATACAACAACACTATTGAGAATTTAAACAAGGTAAGGAGTCAACTGTAGAGACAATTTCCGATTCATATCTACAATACTGATGGCTGGCTTACCATGTGACTGACTGACAAAATCAATAAACAACCTCACATACAACTGCGTCACTTCAAAACAGTAACACAAGGAACAAGTGGATAGAAAATTATCCACATCAAAGTACACAGAGTTCTCTGACAGAATAACCGTTAGTGTGATGTCACCATTGACACTACTAACCCATTTCAAGTCATGTCACCAACACTCCTCAAAAACTGTTCCTGTCGTCTCGCCGACCCCCACCAACAATCTAACATGTCATCCATTGGTGCCAGGTCCTGATGATCTGATCACCCTCAACCCTCTGCCAAGAAAAGGTGATAAACTCAATAAGTAACTGTTTGAAATGACTTCAATTGATAAATCAGTGATGTTATAACATTAGTGTATATAGGTGTTGTGCTATTTCGACTGCTACAAAATCGCCTGCCTTCACTCATCATACACTTGACCTAACAATCATTACATGGTATTCCATGGATTATATTCTTTTTCTCAGTTGACTATAATGGATAGTTTACCGCCTACAAAGTTTCTCTCTGAGTAAGTGTGAAGATTCAAATACCATCCTTATTCAAACCAGCATTGTTAAGAATTCTATGTGAAATTCCCGTTGGGCCTTCTTTATACAACAACACTATTGAGAATTTAAACAAGGTAAGGAGTCAACTGTAGAGACAATTTCCGATTCATATCTACAATACTGATGGCTGGCTTACCATGTGACTGACTGACAAAATCAATAAACAACCTCACATACAACTGCGTCACTTCAAAGTAGTAACACAAGGAACAAGTGGATAGAAAATTATCCACATCAAAGTACACAGAGTTCTCTGACAGAATAACCGTTAGTGTGATGTCACCATTGACACTACTAACCCATTTCAAGTCATGTCACCAACACTCCTCAAAAACTGTTCCTGTCGTCTCGCCGACCCCCACCAACAATCTAACATGTCATCCATTGGTGCCAGGTCCTGATGATCTGATCACCCTCAACCCTCTGCCAAGAAAAGGTGATAAACTCAATAAGTAACTGTTTGAAATGACTTCAATTGATAAATCAGTGATGTTATAACATTAGTGTATATAGGTGTTGTGCTATTTCGACTGCTACAAAATCGCCTGCCTTCACTCATCATACACTTGACTTCACAATCATTACATGATATTCCATGGATTATATTCTTTTTCTCAGTTGACTATAATGGATAGTTTACCGCCTACAAAGTTTCTCTCTGAGTAAGTTTGGGGATTCAAATACCACCCTTATTCAAACCAGCATTGTTAAGAATTCTATGTGAAATTCCCGTTGGGCCTTCTTGATACAACAACACTATTGAGAATTTAAACAAGGTAAGGAGTCAACTGTAGAGACAATTTCCGATTCATATCTACAATACTGATGGCTGGCTTACCATGTGACTGACTGACAAAATCAATAAACAACCTCACATACAACTGCGTCACTTCAAAACAGTAACACAAGGAACAAGTGGATAGAAAATTATCCACATCAAAGTACACAGAGTTCTCTGACAGAATAACCGTTAGTGTGATGTCACCATTGACACTACTAACCAATTTCAAGTCATGTCGCCAACACTCCTCAAAAACTGTTCCTGTCGTCTCGCCGACCCCCACCAACAATCTAACATGTCATCCATTGGTGCCAGGTCCTGATGATCTGATCACCCTCAACCCTCTGCCAAGAAAAGGTGATAAACTCAATAAGTAACTGTTTGAAATGACTTCAATTGATAAATCAGTGATGTTATAACATTAGTGTATATAGGTGTTGTGCTATTTCGACTGCTACAAAATCGCCTGCCTTCACTCATCATACACTTGACCTAACAATCATTACATGGTATTCCATGGATTATATTCTTTTTCTCAGTTGACTATAATGGATCGTTTAGCGCCTACAAAGTTTCTCTCTGAGTAAGTGTGAAGATTCAAATACCACCCTTATTCAAACCAGCATTGTTAAGAATTCTATGTGAAATTCCCGTTGGGCCTTCTTTATACAACAACACTATTGAGAATTAAAACAAGGTAAGGAGTCAACTGTAGGGACAATTTCCGATTCATATCTACAATACTAAATAAATTATTAACCAGTATTTCAGTATAAGTGTTCGTGCTGATGGCTGGCTTACCATGTGACTGACTGACAAAATCAATAAACAACCTCACATACAACTGCGTCACTTCAAAACAGTAACACAAGGAACAAGTGGATAGAAAATTATCCACATCAAAGTACACAAAGTTCTTTGACAGAATAACCGTTAGTGTGATGTCACCATTGCCACTACTAACCAATTTCAAGCCATGTCACGAACACTCCTCAAAAACTGTTCCTGTCGTCTCGCCGACCCCCACCAACAATCTAACATGTCATCCATTGGTGCCAGGTCTTGATGATCTGATCACCCTGAACCCTCTGCGAAACTAATACAACTTTCCCCCCAGTATACCAGCACATCGAAGAAGGCAGTGGATTCACATGCATAGTACACGTGTTCAAACCATTTCACTCCATTGAGATTCACAACCTCATCATCGGCTGACTTACCTGTCTTGCCTACTACCCTTCGCCTCACTTCAACATTTCTCACACGATGATTTCACTAAATGTAAGCAATCCTATGAAGACATCTGTGATCAAAACCCCATGACCACTTCATATCTTCACACTGTCAACCGGGTCAGTGCATGCACAGTAGTAGCCAACTTTTTCTCTAACTTACTCATCTTGGCACCGTCTGCCACTCTGTTTCGCTAAATCTTTGTGTTCTGCTATTCTGGCTAACCCTGATCGCCTGCTTTCACTCATACACTTGACTTCACAATCATCACCTGGTATTCCATAGATTACATTCTTTTTCTCAATTTCACTCTAATGGACCGTTTAGTCTACAAAGTTTCTGTCTGGGTGACTTTGGGGATTTAAATACAACCCTAATCCAACCCAGCATTGTTAAGAATTCTACGTGAAATTTTGCGACTTGTCTTCTTTATACGGTAACACTAAAGAGGATTTGAATGACCCTTTTAGGCATGTGTTGTAATCACCACTATTTCTCTTATCAGTCGCTTATTAACTCCATTTAAGGATATTGTTTACATCAGCCGATAAGGGGAAAATGTGAATCTCTTCAGATAAGTGTTATCATTAGTAGTGAATTCATTACTGTATAGCTCGGTTAGTTGTCCAAGAGCTTTAAATCGACTCCCCCCCCTCCTTTCTCATCTATTTATGTATGACTTATAGTTTGGAAATAATCAGTGCATTATCTCATATTTTGTGCCTGAAATCAATTGATTATTATATCCGTATAAATCATAATGTGATGTGAACAGCTAATTTAGTTGTATATGCGAACAAATCAGATCGCCGGAAATAGATACGATTAATAATAAGCGTAACATACTTTATGTAGACTGAGTTGTATGATTCATACAACAGACCAATCACGTTCGAGGTCTGCTTAAAGACTTCATGAGTATATGATGTGCTTAGGGCAATTACAGTTAAACAAAATAATGGGCAACTAGCAGCAGGGTTAACTCAGGGATACATAACGCATAGAAAGCCATCCACTAAATTGTGATTGAGATTTGATGAGATTATCAATTCATTGATTTATCGGTTGTTAGCTTTAGAGTAGCACGTCTCAAGTGCACTCTCTTCTCTGAAATCTTTTCAACCTGGCTCCACGACTCCCCACAAGCTCTCATTTCTTCCTCACACGATCTCATACACGTCACCCTCGACTCGCACGCACAACTCGCCGTTTCCCTTCTAGGTCCCACTCGAGTGCCTGACGTGTGATGTCCACAGTCGGCCTTCTCAGCGTATACCGAATCCATCTCCACTCTCTTTTTCTGCCTACTTCTTAGGCGGTGGGTTCTTCATTGCTTCGTCCTCACAGTTCATCCTTCCTTATTCTTTCCAGCAATCCATCTGAGCACCAGTATCGCGCGTAGGCAGTCGTTGATGAATATCTCTACTTTCTTGGAAATCCCTTTTGTAACGCAACAAGTCTCTCAACCACCACATAGAAGCATTTACTTGACTGAGTTCGTGTTGAAAATGTGGATCTTGTTCACGCTTTATCCTGAGTGCAGTAGATCTCCACTCTGCTTTCAGGTTAATGCTGGAACGCCTGTCTTGCTGTCTTTCCCATACTGGCTGGCTTTGACGTCCTCCTCTGTGCCCATGTTGCCTGTACTCCAAACCATGCTGCCTAGATAGGTAGGTGAAATAAGCTACTTCCTCCAAGTTTCTCCCATTCATCGTGATTGCAGCTTCTTGTTCATGCTGTTGTTCATTGCGTATCTTCATCACCTCTGTCTTCTCTACATTCACTTGAACTTCCGTCTCTCTTCGCTGCACTCTGCTGCCTCTTCTGTCAACTTGTTAGTTTTCCCCTGTAGATCTTCCAGTTTGTGCGACATTAGACATAAATCATCACTGGCAATATCCAAATCTTCTAGGTTCTTTTCTGCAATGCAGCGTTTCCCCTTCTCGCTCCTCACTGTTTGTTGCATGATCCAGTCCACTATAATAAGGAATTTCATGGGTGATAGTAGACAGTCTTGTTTTACTCCTGTCTTCATTTGAAAGGCATCACTGATTTTCCGATTGTGAACTACTTGGCATGTGGTGTCTTCATATACTTGTTGAATGAGATTGATAAAGGTTTGTGGTATTCCGTAGTGTTGAAGCAGCAGTCGGCAAATTACTTGTCAGTCGACGTTGTCAAAGGTCTTTTCAAAGTCGATGAATACATAAAATAGAGAAATGTAATTGCTCATCTCCCATCTTCTCACAACCACTGAGATAACCAATCAGATCTTCCTATTTCGGCTGTAAAGGTAGAGACACTTAAAAAATGAAGAAATCTAATTGGTCAATTCATTCGTTACTAGAGTGGCCTTTGAAGTCAGTGTCATTTATACAACTAATCAGTTTAAAGCTTAAGAATATGATTGGTCAACACCAGAGTAGCATTTGAAGTGATTTCAAAGGTTATTCTAACCACTGCTGAGATAACAAATAACGTCTCTACAATTCATAGAAAAACTCGCTTTTTTGATGGAATAGTAAAACCTGATTGGTTATTTCAGCAGCCGCTAGGGTGACCTTTAAAGTCACTCTGCTATCTATGAATCATGCAAATTCTAACGAGATGATGTAAAAAGAATTTTGAAAACAAGCAACAAAAAAAAAAGTAGAAATATGAATTATCTGTATTATAATAGGGAAGTGTTGCTTACCTTATAAGAGTTAAAGCATTAGGCTTTATTTCTGTCGGTAAACTAGACTCGAATACACTGTTGAATAATTGATTTCCAATAAATCGAGGCAACTAAGAGGAGGTATACAAGGGAAACAAAATAAACTTTGTAAAAATAAGTTGACAAGATTTAAGATAAACACACAAATTGGTGCAAGTTCATACATGAGACATATGAGGAGAATGAATGTAGAATCTCGAATACAAGTATCACATCTCATACTGGGATAAAGAGAAGTTAACAAAGTTGTATAAGAGAATAAACAATTTGAAGAGAATGGTTAGTACAAATATTCAAGCCTTAGAAGATGTTAACAAATGAATATGTCTTCAACCATATCAATTAGAGCCGGCAACCATTGATTCCTCTCGGCTTAACCCAACTAGACAGTCTAAATCTAACTACTGGGCTAAGGAACAATAATCGGTTATGTCTGAACCCTCTTCCAACCGAATTTAACTTCACCTAAAATTCCACGTCGAGGCAATGGGTCAACCCTATCATATGAGAGCTGTTGACAGTAAGAAGAAAAGGATCTTAAGCCATATAGTTGGGACGGAGAGATTTCCTCAGGTCAATGTGCTACAGCATTGGTATAAAGACATTTGCACCACTCACATCGCTTCTCAGCCACGATACATCACTTACACTCAGTCTCCAATAACTACTTTCTCTCATCCCACCGACACTAACCACACACTCCCCATCGCCCCACATGGTTCAAACTAACAATCAAACACTTCATACATTCATACCATGTTTTAGTCTGGCTGACAGCCAAAAGCCCTTTTACAGCCTACATCTACTTCGCAAAACATTGTGTGATGAGGCAATCGGTCACTAGGCATACGTAACACATGTCTCAGCCTAAAATCTCAAACGATCAAGATTCACAACCCCATCAACTCTTATACCTCTTCTCCATCACTAAAACTCTACAAATGACTTCGGCTTTACTTACGTGGTGTGGTGACACAACGGAATACCGAATACAGCATATACTATGAAGACAACGGTGGTCAAACATCTGAAGCCCACCTTCTCATGTCTCCTAACTTCAACCGACATGTTTCACAACCATAGAGTACAACAGAGAGGATTGCTGTGTACTATATGCTCCCCTAATAGACAATCGGATATCATGGCGGTGCCACGGGTGGTGTAAGTTGGCAAAAGCCAGCTGTGCCATTTCTATTCGTGCAGAGATTTCATCAGCCACTGACCAATGCACAAAGACTGATCCTACTTCCCAGGTAAGTTAAGTAGGTAGTCGACACACTCAACCACTATACTCACTCTCCATTGTTAGCCGCGGTGGGGCACCGTTGAAAACCAATCCTGCAGCAACAATTTGCATTTCCGTGGTGAGAAACGCATCCCAAACATTCTCAAATTCCCACTCAAAGTGTTCACAGGACCTTGTATCTTGTCAGAGTCTTCACCTAACAAAACTGTGTTATCTGTGTATTCTAGGTCGAACGAAAATTCTTCTGGGATTAGGTCAACCTCTGTGTAGTCAGGTGACAAGAAGGAGACCTCCATGAAATTGAATAAGAATGGGAAAGTCAGATACATCTCACTCACGAGTTCGAAATAGAAGGAAATGAGCGTGTTGGCTTCCACTACTACTCATTACCCATCATTACTATAAGTGAGTAAAGAGATGATGCAGACGAAGAATGTAAAATTATGTACATACAAAAAAGTGCATACAGTTTATCAAGGTTATCATAGTCACTTCCTGAGTATAAAGGTCAGATTGAAAAAGTTTGATAGGTAGAGCTTTCACAAAAGCCATAAGAAAGTTGGTATTCGGTTTAGTGATTCTGCAGAAGGATTGAGAAATATCCCTATTTTGATGTTTTTCATTTGTTTGTGCATATTTCAAGTTTATGATGTCATTATTGTAGACTATTTGCAGCTGATAAATGCCGAAGAAAGTAAATCAGTTCATTTTATTCTGAAACTATCTTTGTTCTTGCTTGTATGTATTTCATCATCACCATCATCATTTGTCCCTTGGGTTCCTAATGGAACATAGGGATTCAGTAGCACGTCTCAAGTGCACTCTCTTCTCTGAAATCTTTTCAACCTGGCTCCACGACTCCCCACAAGCTCTCATTTCTTCCTCACACGATCTCATACACGTCACCCTCGACTCGCACGCACAACTCGCCGTTTCCCTTCTAGGTCCCACTCGAGTGCCTGACGTGTGATGTCCACAGTCGGCCTTCTCAGCGTATACCGAATCCATCTCCACTCTCTTTTTCTGCCTACTTCTTAGGCGGTGGGTTCTTCATTGCTTCGTCCTCACAGTTCATCCTTCCTTATTCTTTCCAGCAATCCATCTGAGCACCAGTATCGCGCGTAGGCAGTCGTTGATGAATATCTCTACTTTCTTGGAAATCCCTTTTGTAACGCAACAAGTCTCTCAACCACCACATAGAAGCATTTACTTGACTGAGTTCGTGTTGAAAATGTGGATCTTGTTCACGCTTTATCCTGAGTGCAGTAGATCTCCACTCTGCTTTCAGGTTAATGCTGGAACGCCTGTCTTGCTGTCTTTCCCATACTGGCTGGCTTTGACGTCCTCCTCTGTGCCCATGTTGCCTGTACTCCAAACCATGCTGCCTAGATAGGTAGGTGAAATAAGCTACTTCCTCCAAGTTTCTCCCATTCATCGTGATTGCAGCTTCTTGTTCATGCTGTTGTTCATTGCGTATCTTCATCACCTCTGTCTTCTCTACATTCACTTGAACTTCCGTCTCTCTTCGCTGCACTCCGCTGCCTCTTCTGTCAACTTGTTAGTTTTCCCCTGTAGATCTTCCAGTTTGTGCGACATTAGACATAAATCATCACTGGCAATATCCAAATCTTCTAGGTTCTTTTCTGCAATGCAGCGTTTCCCCTTCTCGCTCCTCACTGTTTGTTGCATGATCCAGTCCACTAGAATCAGGAAGATTGTATGTATGACAGAATGGAGACTAGTTGACTTCATCTACCATTTCACATTTTCAATCAAGGATTTACATAAATGCAAATAATGATACTCGATCGACCAAATATAGACGCATTCGTATAACAGTCGGGGAAAACCCTCAGTGATTAGAATGAAATCATAAAGTTCAGATCAACAGTTGCACGCCAGAATTCACATTTGTAGAGTAATGGGGGTCAGAAACTCGATGGTCGCTGGTTTGCAATATTACTCAGTAAATTACTATTTATCACACTCTATGGTTTCCTCACTACCTTTCTAATGTCAATGAAACAGAGTATGCCTTACGCGTTAATCAGAATTTAGTTTACCAGAAAAAAAGAAAAAGGGACAAGATATTTAGCATAGAGACTCTTTTTAACAAATTTATATTCAAGTGGTACATTCGTATACATATGTGATATTCGAAAAATTATCTCCCGTGAGGAAAACTAAACACTATTATGATGATAACAATAATAAAACGGTTACCGCATACCGTTTTATTTATAAAAAAAATATCCGAGAAAGAAATATTCAACCGGTCATCTTCTCAGTCTCAAAGAAAACATTGTTCATTAGCCTAGAATTGAAAGGTCATCCAGGAACAGACCATCCTCGAGAATCGTCTATGCTAATCAATCAATAGAACTTTCTTCTCAACAAAACTTCAATTGACTTTTTCTAGTCGTCTGTGTTTAAGATAAACATTCTTCATTTGACTGCTTCTATGTATATCTACTAGTTCACTAGCTCTTGTGGAACAAGGTAGATCGGCCGTAGCCAGAAAATGCTTTCTACATGTATACGACAACACGTTCCAGTTTGATGCTATAAAGGTGAAACAAAATCTATTAGAAGTATGACTCTAGAAAATTTGATTGATTTCTACCACTCAACAAACCTCTCACATCTTCTTTGTTTTCAACTCTTTAAAACACTGAAGGCTTCACCTATTTATGAACTAAAACCTGATCTGTGCATGTAGAAGTATGTAGAGTAGCGACTGTTTTTACTTTGGCCATGACATTTTCCCACCTCCATTAGTTTCCCCTCCTCTCTTTGTTAATTTAACCTATTGTATCCTTCCTTTATCACTATTATTGTTCTGATAATTGACTTTATTGATTTCATCTACACCAACTTGTCTAATCTTATTACATGATAGTAATAATGGATACTGGCTAGCAATGGAATCCAGGATGGGCATTTCGTACTATTTGCGGCTCGTCAGCAGGATGCACCTGCCTCCTAATGAGTGACGTTGTCCCCACCGGGATTCAAACTAGGGACCGATCGCTTCAAACACCAGAACATTGTCCACTAGACAGTACATACTATTACATAGTACATATGTACTATGTAATAGTACTATTACATAATGCGTGATTGATTTACCACTTTCCACCAACTTTTTCATCCCTTTCTGAGTTATATACTTTCTATCAACCATTCCCCATACTACGTGATCTACTTTGTTATCATAATCACAAATGCCTATGTCATCATCACATTATTATTATTTGTCCCTTGGGTTCCTAGTGGAACATAAGGCTTCAGTAGCACACCTCCATTTCACTCTGTTGTCTGCAATCTTCAAAACCTGGCTCCACGATTGCCCATAAGCTTTCATTTCTTCCTCACACATGATCTCCTTCATGTCACCACTTTCGGATGCCCAACTCGTCGTTTCCCCTTCAGACTCCTGGCGAGTGATGTCCCCGAATGGTTTTCTCAGTGCATACCTAATCCATCTTCAATTCGTTCCAGTGCATATTTGTTGGCTGATAGGTTCTTGCCTCGTTAGTTCGTTCCCAGAGTGAGTTCCTTGTAGCTTATTATTTCTGGCAATCTATCTGATCTTCAGTATGGAGCCAGTGTAGGTAACTGTTGATGAATATCTGTAGTTTGTTGGAAATGCTTATCGCAACGCGCCAAGTCTCTGAGCCATATAGAAGCACTGAGTTGATGTTGGTGTAGAAAATCCGGATCTTGTTCTTTATATAGTTTTCCTCACGGGATATAATTTTTCAAATATCATATATGTATATGAATTTACCACTTGAATATAAACTTGTTGAAAAGAGTCTCTTCTTTGAATATGTTGTTCTTATCAAGGAAAAGCTAGTTTCCGGTGCAATACTCATTTATATAATAGGTGAGTAGTTGAATTATTGCTATTAAAAGGGTAAAAAGTATCATCAGGTTCATAAAATATGAATGACACAGAATTATCGTTATGAAAAAAACACAACAACATACCAATAATTGATTAGTCGATAATTCATCCATTACCAATGATTGTGTACGTGAACAATGGACACCTAATTCTCTGTGTGCACCACAACATTCTAAGCAGATTAAAATGCCTAGATTTACACTGACCCATTCAGGATCTGTTAAAATTATTAAAAAAAAAGTAGAAAATGATGAAGATACTGTTATATAGGACCTAAATTTTGTATACCTTTCGTATGCTATTTTGCCCATGACCTTGAAATAACTTACACGGCTGTTTTTCATACCCCTACAACTTTTTCTTCCTTCTCCACTCAAGGCTGAACTCTCATTGGCTGTTACCTATATGTGGATTTGGCATTGTCAAGGTCATATATATATATATATATATATATATATATATATTCAGCATTGGCGTCAACTATGATCACTGTTGTTAAGACAGTGGAAAGCTCTCTGTCAACGGCCTATCATCTCTTCTTGCCTTCGCGCGTCGGTGGTATTGTTGTTGTGGCGGTAGTTGATAATTTGATTTGCGTTAGAGTCAATTCCCTGCGCGTTAGGTTTATATCATTCGTAGTTTGCTTGGCTCATATCGCTCGTAGACTGTTAGGCCGTATTACCGGTCATAACATATACAGATAAATGTTGACTTTGAAGTTAGTTTAAAAGATGATGAAATAACAAGAATTACTCATTGATTCAATTTAAATACATTGCATTATTGCTTATATGAAGCGATGATTGAAGGTGAAATGAAAGCTTAAGTCATGCTAGAACTCTAAACAGCAATCCACTATTTGACCACATTACAGCTAAAGGTTTAAAATAGCTTTATAAAACAAACTTTATTTACTTCTTTGTAATGTTGATGAAACATTTTTGATATGAAATCTCCCAAAAGGGAATAAACAGAAAGCTAACCTTGACATCTTATTACAGAACCATACACACATACCTCGCCACGTCCTCAACTTTGATTAGGTACAATACAAGTGAGATACAAGTAACTACCAGTCATTAAAAAAAACCATCGAATCACTTGAGAAACCAAATCAACCAAATAATGATTGTTTGCAAGAAAAGCCATGATAAACAATAAAATATGGTTAGTAGTAGAATCCAGGATGTGCATTTCATCCTGTTTGAGACTGGTCAACTGAATGTACCTGCCTCCCAGTTAGTGATGTTATTCCCCCTGGAGTTCGAACTCGGCGCTGACCGCTTCAAACTCTAGAGCGTTATTCACCAGACCACTAAGCCATGATAGCCACTACTTGTGCGACGGGTATAGTTTTTTAAAATGTTATTGCTAGTGGATAACGCTCTAGAGTTTGAAGCAATTGGTCTTGAGTTCGAATCCCGGTGAGAACAATATCACTCACTGGGAGGCACCTACATTCGGCAGACGAGTTTCAAACAGGTAGAAATGCACATCCTGGATCCCACTGCTACCACTATCCATCATTACTAAATAAAATATACTGCTGAACAACCAGGCATCACTGTGTAACGGTCGTCCATGTTAACACATCTCACATCACCATATCAAACAACAAAGTAATCAGATGAGAAATCGAAGACAGAAAAAGGAATCAGTCAAAAACAGTGGAAAGTAATAAAAACAAACGAATAAGGAATGAAGAAATGTTGAATTTTTCAACCGACACCTATTTCATCTAACATTACGCGATGAAAAATCGAAATGTTCTTAGTAATCCTGTGCAAATTCATGGAATACGCAATGAACTACACTTATTGTGTGAAGCCTAACGATACTACCAAGTTGTCGAAACCTCAGCAGGTGGAGTGGTATTCAAAACTATAACCTATTGGTAGAAGGTTATCTCCCTTAACCAATGAGCTACAGCCCCATATTGCGCAGTGAGGTATACAGTGATTAGGTATGCATAACGTATGCCTCAACCATTTCAGTCGTTGGAGATTCACATTTAACTAGATCTAAGATGATTTTCACTCGATGGGTTTTAGGTTCCAACCCTGTTCCATCTGTCAAGGTCTGGACAGCAGTCAGGTAGTATCATTAACCCTTATACAACAGGTGTATCTGTTCAGTGTCTACTACTGCACGAATATGTATAAAGTTGCTGAATACATTACAATTTCGTATCGAATCATAAGATTAAAGTTCTTCAGAGAACCATCGATTACCACTCGACGAACTCATTATATCAACAGTATCTAATTTAATGGATTTGGATTCTGTCAAGCAATCACCTTATTTCTTCCTCAAACACAATCTCCTCCATGTCACCCTCACCTCCAACACCAAACTCCTCACTCCCAATCTGCCTTCCACTCGACGTCCCGACCTGACGTGGGATGTCCCCACTCGACCTTCTCACTGGATACCCAATCTATCTCCACTTCCTTCCAGTACATATTTGTTGAGCGATAGGTTCTTGCTTAGTTGGTTCGTTAGCAGGTCAGAGTTCCTTCCTGTTTGATTATTCTTTCTGGCAATCCATCTGATCTTCAGTAACGAGCCAGCGTAGGGGGCAGTTGTTGATGAATGTCTGTAGTTTGTTGGAAATCCTTTCCGTAACGCGCCAAGTTTCTGAACCGCCGCAGAGAAGCACTGAGTTGACTAAATTGGTGCTGAAAATCGAGATGTTGTTCACGCTTTATGCTGAGTGCAGTAGATCTCCACACTGGTTTCAGGTTAATGAACGCCTGTCTTGCTATCTTTCCCATCCTGGCTGGCTTTGACATCCTCGTCTGTGCCTGTGTCGTTGCCTGTAGTTGAAACGATGCTGCCTAGATAGATGGAAGAGACTACTTCCTTTAAGTTTCTCCTGTTGATGGTGATTGAAGCTTGTTGTTGTTGTTGCTGGTGGCGTTGGTTGGGTATCAAAAAAAGGTGATTTGAATGCACAGATATTCTCCTACCTTGAAAGTGTTTATCGAAAAAAATCAATTAGAAAAACTATGAAAAAATTCCTTAGAAAAAACAAAACATGTCTACTTACCAGGTCGACCACAATCAGCGCATATATCATTACCCGGTGAACAAAATCTTAATGAAGACTGTATAACTGATTTCGATGGACGTATTTTAGACTCGATAGAATGAATTCCATCCGTTGAAATAGCGTCTACACTATCTAAATGACTTTCATGTGAACGACTGACTTGAGAACCACTAAAAAGGTTTTCGAAAGGTAAAAAGGAAATATCGTAAACACAATAAGACAACTATCGGTTTATTTTAGTTAAATGAACCGAATCAATTTTTGTCTATTGGCATATGGCCTCCTTCATGGATGCCTCAATATTGCCTATGGTTGAATTATATATAATAATGATGGATAATGGAATCCAGATTGACACATGTTTCATCCTATTTCAGGCTCGTCAGTTGAATGTACTTGCCTCCTACAGTGAGTAATGTTGTTCTCACTAGGAATTGAACTCCAAACCGATTGGTTCAAATGTCAGAACGCTATCCCACTAGAACACCGAGTTACGATATAGTTTTAATGTTGTTGCCTGGCTCCTATATTGATCGGATTACTTCAATGTGATTGTTTTTCTAGCCATTTAGCGATATGCTCCACCTTCTTCGACTTCATAGTTCAATTACTCATTCCTAATTTAAGTATCACCGCACATACACATAAATTGACATACATAGCGAGATGTGACGTGATTGTTTATGTAGTAGTTATGATGTTTATTGTGAAGCATGGGTTTCATTTTTGCTACAATATTGAGCTTGGGGCTGCATGGTATGTATTTTAAATAACTAAAATCAATCTGTCTTAACGCTGTTTCATTCCTCCTTATACGATAGCGTGATGTAAACATCCTTCTTCAGGATGGAGTACTAGTTAGTTTGCACCGTTGAGACGTTTTTATAACAACTGAATGTGTCGTTTATGATTTTCTTATTCCAGAATTTGATTTTGAAAAGGTGTAGAATATTTGTAGCTCAGGTGGATGGCCTTGAATCTATTGTGTTCTCTAAGCTGGATTGCTAAATCGTGGAGCTTTTGTCGTCTTTCTAGACAGTGATATCATCAACACTAACTTCAGTATCAAGTGAGTTGTCAATATCTCTCCATGAATGATTAATTGGCTTGCTCTGACAATGTGGTCTATGATTGGTTATTTCCTTCGATTGTTGTGTCATTGACTGACTCCATAGAGTTTCCTGTTGGTTGTTCCTCTGACCTCTCTGTTGTTTATCATTTTTGACTTGTTAGTTGATAGATTGGGTCTATGTCTATACGTCTATTGATTACTGACTGGGTGAACTGAATGCCAACCTTCGCCTTCGTCAAAATGAACACCGATTGGCTGTTAAATGTCACATTTCATCCCTCAGTGAACGTGGATAACAGTGGATATGAATTGAATTTTGACAATGTAGAAATTTTAGACAGAGGAAACACAAAGAGTATCATCAGAGAATTCCTAGAAGCTTGAGATCCACGCCAGTCAGTCAACAATCAACAGATGTATATACATAGACCCAATCTATCAACTAATAAGTCGAAAATGATAAACAACAGAGAGGTCAGAGGAACAACCAACAGGAAACTCTATGGAGTCAGTCAATGACACAACAATCGAAGGAAACAACCAATCATAGACCACTTCGTCAGAGCAAGCCACTAAATCACTTACGGAGAGATATTGATAGCTCACTTCATACTGAAGTTAGTGTTGATGATGTCACTGTCTAGAAAGATGGTGGAAGCTTCACGATTGAACAACCCAGCTCCTCAGAGAGAACAAGACAACCAATAACTTGGTTTCTTGTTCCAATGTATCCCTTGTGCATATATGTTGAGTCATTTTGAACTGTATTGGACAGAAACTATGAAAGCTTATGTACTGTCCGCTACATGTAGGTTTTTTGTACGCTGATCACTTTTTTATTGACCTATCTCCCCTTCTAGTTAACAACAAAAAGTTGATTAGTACATTCTACTTCACACGATAAACTGATGTAGCTGTGTATGATGTTAAGTCTATTTAGGAGACTTTTAGAATTATCAATTTGTTACATTATAACTAAGATACAATCATAGATAGTTGCGCTATATCGCTAACTGATAGAAGTTGGAAACTGTAGAAAACTAAATTTCGACCCAGTGATTGAATAGTCAACGCGCTCATCATGAAAACTAAATGTCATGAGTTCGAGCCTCAGTGAAGTCATGAGTGCGTATTGCTGAGGAGTCCCATGGCAAGAGGAAACAGTGGTACAGTGTTGTCAGGTTATTAGTGGTTTTTTTTAACTAGTATCACTTCATGATGAATACTACTTAAGTAATAATTACCAGTAAACGCCTAGTTGAGAGGTTCAATAATGTTTGGTAGACCACATACCATTACGATGAAGAAACCTGGATTTTATCTCATACTCAAAAATATGCTGTAAAGCAAACGAACATTAATTCCTGTTCAATCATCATCATCAATATCAACATAGGACCAGGGATTACTGCATAACAGTCCAAATTGCCACACCTCATATCACTACATCAAGTAAAAAAACAGTGAAGTGGAAGATGAAGAAAAGAAAGTTCAGTCGAAAGAAATATATAAAGTACCCAAAGAGAGAAAGGAAGAATGAGAAAATGGTGAGATTCAGTAAAGAGCTAAGATGGGGATAACGTGTGTATACATCACTACTCACATCCCTTCTCAGCCATGATACATCACCTACACTCAGTCTTCAACCACTGGTTTCTCTTGTCTCACCAACACCAGCCACACAGTCTGCATCGCCACCCCACATGCTTCAAACCAACAATCAAATACTTTATATAGTGATGCCATGTTTTAGTATGGTCACCTCCACCCTTTTCTCAGTCTCAACCAATTTCCCCCAACATTTTGTGACAAGGCAATCGGTCACTAGGCACACATAATACGTGTCATAGCCAGACATCTCAGTTGATAAATGTTCACAGTTGCATCTCCTGCCTACAACTCTACACCTAACTTGTGCGTTACTCACATGGTGACACCATGGAATACGGAATACGGCATACATACTATGAAGGCAACGGTGGTCAAACATCTGAAGACCGCCTTCTCATGTCATCCACCTTCAATGGCCATGTTTCACACCTGTACAGTGGAAGAGAGCCGACTGCTGTGCACTACACGTCACCCTTAATAGACAGTCGGATATCACGACAGTGCCACAGGTGGCGTAAGTTGGCAAAAGCCAACCGAGCCTTTTATGTTCGTGCGGAGATTTCATTGGCCACTGACCGACGCACAAGGGCTGATCCTACTTCCCAAGTTAGTGAAGTGGACGGCATACTCAATCACTACATTGTTTATTGTTAGCCATGGGGCACCGTTGAAGACCAATCCAGTGGTCGACTACTATACTTCATTCCGTAATATTGGAGATAAGCATGCATTAGTAATGACTCGGTTTTATCATGTCGCATTGTGACGCTAACTGACGTGAAATTACATGTAAATCCTACTGATATGTACTAACAGTCTCTTTACCATACAAAATTATAAAGTCCCCTAGTCGAATGAAGACAGATGAAATTTAGCCAATTGTTAGAAAGAATACTAAACAAATAAAATAAACAGCATAGGTAGATAGGCGTTGATCGGATTACTACATGAAGGAATACTTCTCAACAGTATAAATGTTAGCAATACAATATACAATTTTTGGATAATAAACACTTAAAGACATTAATTATTACCTGGAATCAAGTAGATCATTTTCACTACCCGGTAGACTATCACCAAAACTATCTGATTTCATGTGTTTTGAAGCGATGACAACATTGCTTCCTTGACATGTTAGCGTCGAATAAGCTTTATCAAGGCTACTGCCTAAATTATCATCATTATTAGTATTGTTATTATTATTGTTATTATTGCCACGACATGATAATGATGACAATGGAATATTTAATCCCTCCGATAGATCAGATTGAGAAGTATACGAAATTCCCCATTCATTGCTCGACTAAATTCCTCTTGCATTGCATTGTTCAATATACTTATCCATCTGTAAAAATAAAACAAGGATGAAGTAAGTAAACAGTACAAAACAATCACACCCACCACTACCCATCATGGTTGAACAAGGGACAAATTAGAACTATAAAGACCTCCATACTTACACATATAGTTGACACACTAGAAACGCCTTCAAAATCATCCATCAGATTTCAATTTATTTACCACATGGATTATGCACTCGGTTACTTCACATAGCAGAGGCGATTCCAATCCACCTTTACAAACCTAGCCTTTGTATACAAAAGAAGTTTGTACAACCACTTTCATTACCGTGGCCGTCACAACATGATGTAACTTCTAGGTTTACTTTGTACACCTCTTCCCCGTTCCTCTTGTTTCTATCAATATTCATGTCTTAGTAACTCCTATTGATTATTGACATGATTATTTCCGAGACATGACCACATAATTGGTAATTTGATTAAATTGTAATACTATGCAATGTTAGTGTAGAGCTCAAGATGAAGACGGACCTAATTGACAAAGAATATACACTTCTTCACTCAATCAGTCTTTTTCTAGACCACAGATCTAGAAAAGATGCTTCTGAAACGCAAACAAAATCATTTCATCTAAACATTCCTTTATAGATTATTCAGAAGAAGAAGAATTTGAGGGAACAATTGTTTTCAATAACTTCACCTTCTTCAGGCTCTATACAGTTATAAATCCTAGGAGAATAAGTGAAATACAATAACCAAAATAGGGCATGATGTATAATTTTCACTAAATATTGAAACAGTCAATATTTTAATGAGTGAATAGAGAGAGATCAAATCGAATTGGGCCAGAAACTCAATGTTCGCTGGTTCGAATCCGGTCGTTTCACTTTAAATCAAATGATTATTAATAATATAAGAAAATGAATGTTTATTAGTTTATTAATGACAATATAGAAGGGATGGGAGGTTAAAATGTGCAATTTGTGATAAGAAAGTTTATAAAGAACATGTTGATGACCCTACTATGGGCCGAGATAAACAAACTGGATGTACATATTTCTTTTGAACACATAGGTCGGGACCTCTTGAGTTGATCCCTATGGCTTCGGCTATGGATGAAATGCGTAGTTGAAGATTGCAAGGGATACAATATATCACAGAAAAGACATGATCTACCTTAATCTGATGTCCGGAATCTACTAGATGTAAGAGGATTGCACTGCTGATAAATGTTGTCATTCCTTTCTCTAACCAATATGGTACATATTCACGAGCGCGCGTGGATAGAGTCCTTTGAGTATAGCCTATGGAACAGTTGAACTCACAAATACACATTCAAGTGGTCATCATAGGTAACCTATTGCTTGTAAGTAGTATTCATCATGGACTGACATTAGTTGGGGAAACATTGAAAATATGGGAGCACTGGGCACCTGTTTCGTCCTAGTACAGCACTCCTCAGCAGTACGCACCCACAACCCGGCTACGGATCGAGCTCAGGACACTCAGGTTTCACGGCGAACGCGTTAACCATTCAGCCTTTGGGTCGGTTTCCAGTGGTTCATAATTTCCAACTTCTGTCAATTCACGACATAGCGCGACTGTCAACCAAGGTCTTCAGTTAGCATCCACTTCACTTCCGACTGGTTGACCCCACAGGTCACGACTTCTCATTAGAGCTTCCTGATATCCATCTGGAAGCAAGTCACTAATGAGCTGTCCAGTGCTCCCAGATTTTCAAAGGTTCCCCAAGTGATGTCAGTCCATGATGAATACTACTTCTAAATTAAAAATCTTCATTCATCTCAAAAATACATAACCTATTACTTGGTTCTCTGTGTCAGTAATGGTTTGGTCAAAAAGCTGACATAAAGCATCGCTTAACTGAATGTCGTTTCGACTGATCTACTTGATCTATATGCTACGAAATCCAAGGCAATATCACCTTTAAAATCTAGTCCAAGATATACAAGCTTCTTAGCAACATTGTCTTTGTTTATCTTCTCTCTAAGTTTCGATACATCTTTTATTTATGAAGTTTAGTGAATAACCATTTTGGTGAAATGTTATCTAATTTCCAGTTGTTATTCATCGTAGACCGACATCAGTTTGAGGAACAAGGGAAAGCCTGGGGGCACTGAACAGCTGTTTCGTCCTAGTATGGGACTCCTCAGCAGTGCGCACCCACGACTCCGTCGGGGACCGAGCCCGCGACTTTCAGGTTCCGTGGCCATTGTTGAGTAACTGTCCTCACAACCTTCAGGCTTTGCCTCCCACCGGTCATGACTTCTCATTGGAACTTCGGGAATACTTCTCGAAGCTAGTCACCAATGAGCACCAGTTCAACTGCATTTTGAGGGAGTTGTTGTGGGGATTCGAAAATATTTCAAGTTGTTATTCATCGTAGACTGACATCAGTTGGAGGAACAGAAGAAACCTAGGAGTAATGGACAGCTGTTTCATCCGACTAGTATGGGACTCTTCAGCAGTGCGTACCCACGACTCCGCCAAGTATCTAGTTTATTTCTTCTTCAATACAGTCATCAGAACAAATGTTTCTTATCCTATAACTCAGGCATTTGATCAGACTTCTTTTATGTTGAATCGGTCTGAAGCTATGGCAGTAAATATATCAACGACCAGTCCATGTGTTCTTTCGAAAAATATTCCTTTTAATATATCCACCTGTTTTTCTGATGAAAAGGACATCTAAGAAAGAAATACTATTCCCTTATTCTTCCTTGCAGGTGAACTTCATGAGTGGGTGAACTTTGTTGAAATTATTCAAGAGATCACCTTTATCGTAGTGATTACTACAAAGATGAACTGATTCATCCCTTAACTGCTCCGTTTACAAGTTTGGCCAAAAAGATGTCCGATAGGATAGGATTCAGAGGAGAGCCCATTGCAATGTAGAGGTTCTCTCTAGCGCTCATACTAATCATTTTGTTGTTGAGTGATACAGAGAATTCATTATATCTAGAATTGGATGTAGTGGAATTCCAAGCTTATGAATCTTTGGTAAGCCATATAGTCTAGGTAGATGTGTACGTACCTGAGGGTTTTAATGTATCGATTCGATCCCCACTGTTTTACATCACTAAGTACCCAACAGACAAACAGGTAGACAACAGTAACACAGAATCATACATACAAATAACAGCAATTCATAGTAGTATACAAAGAACAAATGGATAGAGAGTGATATCAAAGTAGACAAAGTTGAGTGAATACATCTACACCCTTGTAACCGACTTTCAGACATATCCTATCGTCTCGGAGATCTTAGCCAAGCACTAGTCTACACCTTCTATACATGCTTCAGATGAACAGTCAGAGACAAGTGGCTATGTCGTAATCTGGTCACTATGACCTCTATTCCAACCTAATCTAAATCCTTTCGAACGTTAACATACTGAACTAGGCAATAGCTTGGTATGTGAAGCGTATATTCAAGTCACTTGAGTCACAACTTCATCAACTGACTTACTTCTCTAGTTTAGTACCTTTTGCCTGATTCCCAAAAAAACGTGACCAATAACTACGAAGATATCTGTGATCAAAACTCTGTAATCGTTCAACAACTATATGAAGATGCCACATGACAAGTAATTCACAATGGGAAGCTCAGTGATGCTTTTGAAGTGAAGACAGGAGTGAAACAAGGTTGCCTACTATCCCCCATGATATTCCTTATTGTGGTCGACTGGATCATGCAGCAAACAGTAGGCAGCGAGAAGAGGGGGATACGCTGGACGGCGGAAAAGAACCTAGAAGACTTGGATTTCGCCAACGATGACTTGTGCCTGATGTCACATAAACTTGAAGATCTACAGGCAAAAACTAACAAGTTGATAGAAGAGGCAGCGAAGATGGGACTTCAGGTGAATATAGAGAAGACAGAGGTGATGAAGATACCGCACCACCACCACCAACAACAACAGCAACAACAAACTCCAGTCACCATCAACGGGAGAAACTTAAAGGAAGTAACCTCCTTCACCTATCTAGGAAGCACTGTTTCAACTACAGGCGGGACGGACGAGGACGTCAAAGTCAGAATCGGAAAAGCAAGACAGGCCTTCATTAGCCTGAAACCAGTGTGGAGATCTTCTGCACTCAGCATGCGGAACAAGATACGGATTTTCAACACCAACGTCAAGTCAGTGCTCATGTATGCTTCAGAGACTTGGCGCGTCACGAAAGGCATTTCCAATAAACTACAGACATTCATCAACAACTGCTTACGCTGGCTCGCTACTGAAGATCAGATGGATTGCCAGAATAATAAGAATAAGCAACAAGGAACTCTGGCTCGGAACGAACCAACCAAGAACCTATCACGCAACAAATATGCAGGTGGAAGTGGAGATGGATTGGCCATGCACTGAGAAGGCCGACTGAGGACATCACGCGTCAGGCCAGTTGCTCGAGTGGAATCCCCATGGGAAGCGACGAGTTGGACGTCCGAGGGTGACATGGAGGAGATCGTGCGCGGAGGAAATGAGAGGTTGTGGGCTGTCGTGGGACCAGGTTCGAAAGATCTCAGAGAACAGAGGTCACTGGAGACGTGTAACTGAAGCCCTATGTTCCACTAGGAACCCAAGGGACTAATAATAATATATAATAATAATATACAACTATGTTTCCAGTCGTATAACACGATAGAACTGTTAATGTTTTGTGAAAAGAATACTTATTCACTGGCTATACTTGACAAGAGTATTGTATACAGAGTGAAAAAATATTGAAAAAAAAATCGAAATGTACTCACAGCAACTGTGTACACAATTGTGGAGTAGTAGGCATATAGATATATATCTATTGTGTAAGGAACCCATCAACCATTCGTTGAAAATTATTGCCATAAAGCAATCAAGTACAACTTCAGCTTATCATAGGATCAGTAGGTGAAGAGAGTGTACATCTAGGAAGTGGGGAAGTGAGTGAACCTTCTTTAATGACCAAAACCTATGGAAATATAACTTCAGATGCTATTTCATTATCAGCCTGACTAGGTTATAAGTAAAATGATCAGGTAGGATTTTACTTCACCCTCCCTCCCTCCTTCCCAGAACAATCACTGGAATTCAGTGGTCTAATTACCGTTAGATTAAACAAAGTTAGTTATAAGAAGTCAATTGATATCCTTTATAGTGATAATATACTGCAGTCAAAACAAAGAACAAGGTTCGGATTTTCAACACTACTAATTTCAGTCAAGTCAGTGCTTCTATGTGATGGTTGAGAGACTTGGCGCATTATGAAAAGCATTTCCAACAAATTACAGATATTCATCAACACTTGCCACCTACGCTCAATACTGAAGATCAAATGACCAGAAAGAATAAGCAACAAGGAACTCTGGCTGGCAATAAACCAACCAACAAATGTGTAGAAGAAGAAAGTGGAGATGGGATCTGGCATACACTGAGTAAACCATTCGGAGACATTACGCGCCAGACCAAGGCATGGAATGGAATTCAAAGGGGAAACGACAAGTTTGGCATCCGAGACTAGGGTGACATGGAGGAGATGGTGTGAGGAAGAAATGAGAGCTTGTGGGTAGTGGTGGAGGCAGGTTGAAAAGATTGCAGAGAAGAGAGTGGAATAGAGACGTGCTACTGAAGCGGTATGTTTCACTAGGAACCCAAGCGACAAATAATAGTAATAGTGATGATATAAAAAGTCTGACTGATGAAATAGCAAATAAATGTGGACATGATCTATGAAGAACAACGTTTAGTTTGACCAAATAGAAAACAGAGAATCAATCTTCTTCCGAAGAAAAAAAACCTTTTCTGTCTCCTATTTACAGGTTAAGCAGTTCAATGAGTAAGATATCAAATATGCCAAACTGAGGAAGGTCATTAAAATCGAAGTCAATAGATGTATTAACTCTCCATAAATGAAAAATTACTCAAGACTGAATGTAGCAGGAAAATAGCTCAGTGATTGAGGGGAATTATGTGATGGACGCACACACACACACACACACACACACACACACACACACACACACACAATGTTATATAGGGTGGTTCAAGAAAGTATTACTGCTTAATGGTAATACACGTTTAGAGAATTCGGGAGAAATCTCAGTTAAAAAATGGTTTATTTCTTGAGATATTTTCAGCTTCAATCTCTTATTTCTGACTGAGATGAGGAGTCCGGGGTATATATATATATATATCCACAGTTGAGTAGTCTCTCAACTACCATCCAGCTATAGTGTCAACAAGGTTTCCACTGGAAATGACTCAGAGCAAGATTACAAGATGTGACCTCTGACACAAATGTCATCAACTACTCAGGTTGATATGGAAACCAGATCATAGTGAACTAAACACAATAGGGTCGTTGATGATTATTTTGCATTCAACCAGGTCATCCATCAACTGTCTAGTTGGACAAATTCAGTTCATACAATTGAATTAGTTCAGATTATCTGAATCTAGCTGATTGATTTGTATGTACTGACCGATATACCTAGAATAGAATGATATACAAACTTCATCGTTCATACCTTGATAATTTTTACTATAGAGCAGTTTTTAACTGTTCAATTAAATTCTTACATTCTCATTATCAGTAGTATTATTTTTTACAGCAGAATTTTTAACAAAACATTTCCAGTTTATCTCATTCATAGTGTAGTAGATGCTACTGATAAGAATGAATATAAGTAGGTATACGGATGGATGAGAGGTCAGCAGAAGTCATAGACCGATGATTTTAATGAAAAGTGTACAATATTTTATCAGTACTGTACAAAATGTCGTTTGTTACAATATTACCTAATCATCTGTTTATTTGTTGATCAGTTTTACCATGTCACACTGGGAATTGATGCCTTGTTAGTTGTGTTTCGGGGATAGTTATGATCCTGAAACTCTAATATTCTCATTTCGATTAGCTTTAAGGATCATGATTCTTAGCCGTTAAGTGTAATATGATACGACTTTGATATCAAACTTGTATGTTTCCAATCGAAAGGATTAGAAAAGTACTCAGTCGCCTTTTCCACATCTGTGTAATAGGCAATAAACCATACCTATTTTTTAAAGGTTATTGATACTATCTGAGTGCTATCCAAATCTTGGTAGATAGAGCAGTTTTCAAAGTCGTGATGCATCAGTTGACCGCGGTGCTGACAAATACTATGCTACCATCAACTTAGAAGTGTTGCACATCAGTTGGGCTGTGTTTCAATGGTTTACAAAATTGACTAACAAACATCGGGTTACGGGTTCGAAACCCACCCCACCTACTGAGGTTCGAGCAGCTAGTTGGTATCACTAGTCATCACGCAATAAATGTGCACAAAATAGCTGACTTCCTTGTTATTTCGTTCGTTCCCTGTTGTAACTCAGCATTCAATTGATAGTAGTTTGATAGAACACAAAATATGATGACAATGTTCAGATTTTCTCCAGAGGTTACCAGAAGACTGTAATTATTTCAGTAAATTCTCCGCTTACTCAGTGATTTCCTTTAATATTTTTCTATCTCCTACCGTAGAATCGACAATGATCTATTGAATTTTGAGGGAGTTGTGGGGATTTGAAAATATTTCAAGTTGTTATTCATTGTAGACTGACATCAGTGCACACCCACAACCCTACCCCGGCTAGGGATCGAACCCGCGACTTTCAAGTTCCGTGGCCAGCACGTCGCCATTAAGCCAGTGGATCAGTAGAATCCAATGGTCCATATTCCCAACTTCTGTTAGCTCACAATATAGCGCAACCGCCACCCAATGTCATCGTTCAATAACCATCAGGCTTTGCCCCCACCGGTCATGACTTCTCATTGGAACTTCGAGAATACCTCTCGAAGCCAGTCACCAATGAGCACCAGTTCAATTGAATTTTAAAAGAGTTGTGGGGATTTGGAAATATTTCAAGTTGTTATTTAGCTGTCCAGTGCTCCAAGTTTCCATTGTTCCTCCAACTGATGTTAGTCTACGATGAATAATAACTTGAAATAATATATTGATACTGGTTAATGATTGAAGGTGGAATGAAAATTTAGACAGCAGACGGATTCGAACCAGCAACCATCGGGTTTACCGGCCCTATCCTCTACCAACTGAGCTAGCTACAAGGTCCGACTGTTGAACAGATTTTTTATTTCACCATCGGGGGTTTGCCCGAAGACTATAACCATATGAATTCCTGACGTGTTACTATCACCTGATAGTATTCACATTGGTTGTCCACTAGTCAAAACTTCTCATCCTAATCTGAATGTAAATGAATTAGAGAGAGGGAAGCATCAGGTTGTCAAATGACAAGAATGTATTGAACAGAAAAATGTGTAATGATTCAAAAATGTTACAAATTAACGACTTGCCCAAGTTTCTATGTCATTTACTCTTGTTAATAACTTGATAAACTGTGCAAAAATGATGCTGATTTTAACAATAAACAAGATTATTTATGCAAGTTTAATACGGCAATAAATAATCAAATCAATAATCTACATGGAACCAGGGTATTCCCTGTACAACATTCTAAGTTAACATGTTTTTATATCAATACATTAAGTAACAAAACAATAAAAGAGAAGAAAGAAGAATGAGAAAATGTTGAATTCCAGTAGCTACGATAAACACCATCGACACTAATTCCGAGTTATATCCCAATCACAATCTTTAACCACTAGTTTCTGTTGTGACGTGGACGCCAAATCAGGAAGTTTACATTCTTTTGCACCACTGGGATAGATAGTCAAAGACTTAATACACTGATGTCATGTTTGACCCTTTCATCTAACGTCTTCTCAGACTGAACCTACTTCAACTAACATTGTACGACAAAGTAGACGGTAACAAGAGATTCCTAATACATATCCCAACCATCTTAGTCGATGAGAGTGGGTTCAAAACTACATCAACTGACTTACTTCTCCTTCCTTCTTTACACTTGACTTTCGTGATACTACAATACACAGTCTATGCTACGAAGGTAACGATAGTCGAATACCTGAACCTCTCTCATATCCCCCACAATCAGATACTGTGGCGGTGCTATATATGGTGTAAGTTGGTAAACGTCAACCAAACCTTTTCCATCCGCGCAGAGATTTTATTGGTCAATAATCAATATCCAGTATACGGGGGGTAAAGATTAGAGAGCCAAAAAAAGAATGAAATATTACTGAATAACACTTACTCTTCATATTCTTGTTCATCTTCTGCTTGGAAGTTGTATGTTCGACTATCTATGTATAGGTTTGAGAGAGAAAGGAAGAGAAAAAAAAGACTTACAACTTGTATATACCGTATAGGTTAAAGAAAATGGAATCCAGCTGCAAATTACAATTAGATGGTTGATGGCTGGAAATCTAGACTAATCAATCAATCAATCAATCAATATCAACACAGGACCAGGCATTACTGCGTAACAGTCCCACTTGCTACACTTCATATCACTACATCAAGTAGAAAGGTAGTAAGGTGAAGGATGAAGTCAAGAGAATGCAGTCAAAAGAAATATTAAGTATGAGAAGAAAGAAAAGAGGAGTGACAAAATGGTGACATTCGATATAACATCGTTAAGATGAGGATAATATGTGTGGGGGGATACATCTGCACCACTCACATCGTTTCTCAGCCATGATACATCACCTAGAGTCAGTCTCCAACCACTGGTTCCTCTTGTCCCGCCGACCCCAACCACCTAGTCTGCATCGCCACCCCACATGGTTCAAACCAACAGTCAACAACATCATACATTGGTGCCATGTTTTAGTTGGGTCATCTCGGGCCTTTTTCCAGCCTGAGCCTACTTCGGCCAACAGTGTGTGATGAGGCAATCGGTGACTAGACATACGGAGTACGTGTCACAGCCAACCATCTCAATCGATGAAGGTTCATAACCTCGTCGACAGATTTACCTCTACTCCTTTCCTAAAACTCTATACGTGACTTCAGCATTACTCACGCATATTAAAAGTGATGTGCTTACACATTGATATGATTATGAGCGGTGATAATTTATGCAAAAAAACGTCAAATAAACAAATCTAATAATGATATAGTAACACATAGTAGTCAGGCGAGACCGTTGGTGATTGAAGTGGGATTAACACCAGATCTCCAAGTGATTCTTGTAGCTTAGTTGTGGTATAGCACTATGATGGTAACTCGAAGGTCGATTGTTCGAATCCACTAGTAGTCCAGATTTTCATTTCACCCAGTATAAACAATACAATGTGTGGTAAACCATAGCTACATCAGATCAATCTTTGATTAATACTAAAGATGATTGTTATAATAAACCTGTCTAAAGTGGTTACCAAAATACTTGTTAAGTGTTCCAACTACTAGTGTCTATAGTCGGATTCATATTATGCTTCTATTCTAATTTCATTCTTTATCAACGTGTAAGAATGGCAACTACATACAACTAAATAATAAGCTGAAGAAATAGTCTAGTGGATTGAAAACAAAAACAATCCAATTAAGCTTACTTGATACAAGATCAAAGTTTAGTTTTGCTTCAGAACCTGAATGTTGATTACCACTAGTGTTATGATTTAATGTAAAATCATTATCCATATTCTCTGTAGGCAATTTAACTTGACAAGTTAATAAAGTTAAGCGTACAGGTGGCTTTGTTCATCTGCATGATACAACCATAATTCACCGTCAGCAATACGAACACGACGTCTTTGCCAAACACGTTTCACCTAAAAAAAAATAAAATGTAACCACAATCTACTTATGAAAGATAACAATGAAACTGACTTAAAAAGGATCACTTTTACTGAGGTAGACAACAACAACAACAACAAAAAGTACAATTCAATAACGAGGATCACTTTTGTACACTTTATACTTAGAAATATATCCATTATGTGATGACAAGAGCTATCTGCTTTCAGATAGACAAATAGACGTAATCAATGCAGAACCTTAAACACATGTGTCCACCATCAGGTCAAGTTGACATACTACACAGTAGTAGTATACAACGAAAAAAGTGATATTAAAGTAGATAAAGTTGTGTAACAGACGATAAATATCGTTGAAAATATTTACGCTTTAGAAGATGTCAAGGAATAAATACATATGCGGCATTGTCATCGATTTTCAGTGATGCCACAAACATTTTTATTGAATTATTACATTTATCCACACAGTGAAGGAACAGTATTGTTTACTGGATCACATTTCGGACACAGAATTTATTATCCATAGTCGTTATATCAAGATAACTACACAACTTTGAGACATCCTTTATCTATAGCCCTAATTTCCTCGTCTCTTTGTGAGATAGGTAGTAACATTTTCCATATATCCGGAACAGGTGCTTATGCCTAGTCACCGATTGCCTCATCACACAATGTTGGCCGAAGTAGGCTTAGGTTGGAAAAAGGCCCGAGGTGGCCAGACTAAAACATGACACTAATGTATGAAGTCTCTGACTGTTGGTTTGAACCATGTAGGGTGGCGATGCAGACTAGGTGGTTAGGGTCTGTGAGACAAGAGGAACCAGTGGTTGGAGACTCTACGGGATATGGCTGAGAACTGATATGAGTGGTGCAGATGTATCCCCCTACACACATTATCCTCATCTCAGCGACGTTATACCGAATCTCACCATTTTGTCATCCCTCTTTTCTTTCTTCTCATACTTAATATTTCTTTTGACTGCATTCACTTATCTTTATCCTCCACCTTACTACTTTTCTACTTGATGTAGTGATATGAGGTGTAGCAAGTGGGGCCGTTACGCAGTAATGCCTGGTCCTATGTTGACATTGATGATGATGGAACAGGTGCTAAGTCATTCCTCTTGTTGTATGTGTAAGGTGTTGATTCGATAAACAAAGATTCGATGGTTATCAATCTCTCCCTCCACCCTGTTATGTTAGTTTTAAGAATTTTCATCCTGTCCCATCCATTCTGTAGTGTGGTTGTGTGTAATCGCATGCATAGCTATGGCTGAGCCTCCCTTTTCTAAATTCCTTACCTTACTAGGATCTACCAATTTTAACCTAGTTAAGTTTTTGTGTTCCGATAGCCTAATTGATCCTAGTCGACTACTTTGACCTATGTATTTGACCTCGTAATCGTTGTAAGGGATTTGGTAAACTAAGTTATTCTCCTTAATTGGGTCAATAGGATCTTTTAACCTACAAAGCTTATTTCGAAGTGAGTCTGTAGGTTTAAATGCCACGCTAATACCAGCCAGCCTTATTGAGAATTCTACGTAGTGTTTTCGGGGTGTTTCTGAGGGTGGAGGGAGAGATTGATAACCGAATCTTTGTTTATCGAATGAACACCCAACACATGCAACAGGATTGACTCAGTACCTTTTCCGGATATATGGAAAATGTTACTACCTATCTCACAAAGAGACGAGGAAATTAGGATATCTCAAAGTTGTGTAGTTATCTTGATATAACGACTATGGATAATAAATTCTGTGTCCGAAATGTGATCCAGTAAACAATACTGTTCCTTCACTGTGTGATAAATCTAATAAATTAATAAAAATGGAATTACATTCCACCACAGTGCACAAGTTTTACTCTTATATTGGTGCCACAAACACTCATAGACTCTTGATTCCTATTGTCTTAGAGACCCTAGTCAGGCAGTCTACATCTCCCCATATGGCTCAGACCATCAGTCAGAGACTACCCTAAACCCTTTCCAATCTAATCGAATTTTCTCCAATATGGAACGTTAAGGTAGCAGGTAACTCCGTATGGTCAACACAGCATGTCCAAGCCACCTAAGTCAATGAAGAGAGAAATACACTCGGCTACTTTATGCATACCTAAGCACTACGCAATGAGCCATACCAATTGTGTAAGGGTTAATGATATTACCTAGCTTCCCAAACCTCGATACGTGGGGCAGGGTTCGAATCCACAAACCACTGAGCCACTGAACCACATCAATCAGCTTGCCTATCTTGTTTAGTACACCCTCACCTGACCTAAACATGAGTGATGCCACGAAGATGTCTGCAGTCGAAAATCTGTAACCGTCCCATAAGTGGTTAACATAGCACTCAAATGCTCCTATTAATCGGCAGTACATGCCTATAGGTAATAAGACATTACAAAATTGGGATAAATGAGAGTTCTTCAAACTTATATTATTCTCCTAAGAGTAGGTAGTTAAATAAAATAGCTGTTTATTCCATTTTAAACTTTACGCATAGCCCTAGTAACTAATGACTGTCAAATACATGACAGAGAATAGAGGTTTTTTCTGAGGAAATAGAGAGTGTTTCGATGGTAATCAAAGAGATCAACTGTACATTGCTGAGTAACTATATGTCAAAATATTTACTGTAAAAAAGTGTTTTCATTATCATTAATCTCGAAATAGGACCAAGCATTACATTAGCACAATAAGTAACAAAGCAGTAGGATGAAATGTGAAGAAAGGGAGAGGAAAAAAGAATGCGAAAGTACTGAATTCAGTACAATGGTCATTTTTCTTTTTCTTTTAGTTATCCTTTGGGTTCCTAGTGGGACAAAGAGATTCAGTAGCATGTCACCATTTCACTCTCTTTTCATCAGTCCTTTTAACACGGCTCCATGACTCCTCATAAGCTTGCATTTCTTCCTCATACCATCTCCTCCATATCACCCTCACCTCGAACACTTTACTCGCCTTTTTTCCATTTGAGTTCCAATCGAGAGCCTGGTCTGGCGTTTGTTGCACTATAGGTTCTTGGTTGCTTCGTTACCAGTCAAAGTTCCTTGTTGCTCATTCTTTGTAGCCACCTGATCTCTATCTTCGGTATCGAGCGAGTGTAGGCAGCAGCTGCTCATGTATGTCTGCAGTTTGTTCGAAATGCTTTTCATAATGCGCCATCACATAGAAACACTAACTTGACTGAATTACAGTTGAAAATCAGGATCTTGTTCACACTTTATGCTGAGTGCAGTAGATCTCCACAATGATTTCAGATTAATGAAGGAAGGTCTGTCTTGCAGTCTTTCAGTTCCTTGCTATGACATCCTCATCTGTGCCTGTCCACTGCCTGTAGTTGAAATGATGCTGCCTAGGTAAGTAGGTGAGGGAGACAACTTCCTTCAGATTTCTCCTGTTGATGGTGATTGGTGCTTATTGGTGGTGGTGGTGGTTTGTTGGGTATCTTCATCACCTATGTCTTCTCTATGTTCACCTGAAGGAAGTGCCGTCTTCCTTGGCTGTCCTGCCACTTCTGCCAACTTGTTGCTTTGCGCCTGCAGATCTTCGATTTTGTGCGACATTACACATAAATCATCGGAAAAACGGTTAAGACGACATCAATTTTGAGCGATATTGTCACGTAGAGTCTGCAACCACTGGTTTTTCTTATACTGCGGACTCCAACAGGCTAGTCTACATCTCTCTACACAGTTCAGATCAACAGTCAAGGTCTTCATGCAATGATGCCTTTGTTCTAGTCTGATCCACTTCAACCTTTTTCTAGTCTGAATATACTTCAGCTAACATTGGATGACAGAACAGATGATGAGGGTTCACAACCGTATCAACTGACTTCCCTTTCCTCTCTCCCTAAACAATGAAACTTGACTTCTGTGTTACACACGTGGTCTGTGCTACAAAGGCAACGATGATCAAACACCTGAAGCACTCCGATATCCTTCAAGTTTAATGGCCTTGTTTCACAGCCATACAGTAGAACAGAGCGAAATGAAGCACAGTACACTCAACCCTTAAAAATACGACCAGATAACGCGGCGGTGCTACAGACGGTGTAGGTTGACGAAAGCTAGTCGAACCTTTTGTACGCTCTGGAGAGATTTTGTCGACCACTGATCTAATAAAAGTGTTCTGCATACACATAAATCGCCATGTTACAAACCATAATAAGTTATTAGGTATAAGTTGTTACAGAAACAAACTAGTGATTCATGAACATATTTACTGTGCATAAACACTGAGGAAACTTAGAATGCGTACTCATCAGTATTATCCTTTAGAACGCGACCAGTTAATGTTCATCAATGTATACAGAAAGACAGCTAAAATCAACGTAGAACCTCATACATAAGTGACGCATCAGTTCAAGTTGCCACAAACAGCACGCAGAAGATGAGCGAACAGAAAATGACTGATATCACAGTACATAAATGTGTGTGAGAGAATAAAGATAAAAGTTGATGGAAATATTCAAGGAGTAAATACATCTGTGGTATTGTAATCAATTCTTAACCACTGATGTCTATAGTCTTGGGGACTCCGCTCAGGTAGTCTACACCTAGTTACTCATCTCACACCAACAGTTAGGAACCTCATTGACTAGCGTTATGTGTCTTAATCTGGCCAATGTAAACAGGCGAGGGTAACAAATAATTTTTTTATGATGAACTGTATAAACCCTACAAAATACAATAACACACCCTCCCTCCCTCCCTCAATAAACAAGAATGTTGAATGTTTAAATAAAAACTGAGTTTATAATTCAACTAACCTTTCCATCGGATTTCTTAAGCAGAAATCCGCTTTTTCTTGTCCCAAAAGCCCGATTCACTTGAGTAGGTTGTGCTGCATATGTTACACCGGTCTGAATAGACTATAATTAACAAATAAGAAGGGGGGAAAAGTACACCAGAGGATGAAATTCTTCTTCTCAAAAGATAATGAAAGACAAGTAGATTAGAACAGATGAACAAGTGAATCACAAAGTACACATATTTGGTATGATTAAGTGTGTAGGACAATATCACACTTTTTACACTTCAATATGTAAGCACAAAGAGAGAGATAGAGAGATGGATTTGAGTGAAATGCGTACACCATAAACATAAAACTTGAGTAAATACAAAGATTATAATTAATTATTAATTACATTACGAATTGAACACGTGAATCAAGAGATACACATTTTAAAGAAATAATATTGAAACGGAGACCAGATGATTCTCTTCAGCAATCAATTTATAAGAAGCCTACTTGGAATGGACAATATTTGAATTTCCACAGTTGGATGCCTGTCAGTAGAAAGAGGAATCGAATCCATTCTTTATCTTCACAAATCAAAAGAATCTGCACCAGTGATACTACGCAAGATCCTCATGCAAAATGGATATCCATCCACAGTTATCGATAACAACTTGAAAGTAAATCAGAATACCGAGTCAGTACTCACACTTCCTAAGAAGACCTTGTTTATGAACGTTGTTTTCAAAGGCGATATGGCAGCACAGATCCTGAAGAATCAGCTGTCCAGATCACTGAAGAAGACATTCTTCTCTACAAAACTGCAGATCAGCTTCTCTAGTCAACATCTCATTCCGGAGTGCGTTAAGGACAAGTTGCCATTTTGGACAACATCGATGTGTGTCTACAAATTTACTTGCTCCTTCCTATGGAGCTAGTTATATAGGCCGCACAAAGTGCACGCTTTCCAAACGTATCTCACAGCGCTATCCTGCATGGTTGTCGAGGGGAGAATGTTAATCAATTAACAGTTCAATTCTTGAACATTTGGCCAACTCTGGACATAAAGTTAGACCAGAATCCTCCTTCAATGTCATTTATCGTGTCAGATGGAATAGTTGAAAAGGAGTACACCTTCGATAGTTGTGCCCATCGGAGGCACTAACAATTCATCAATTCAAGCCTGATCTGTGCGTGCAAAAGGAGTATGTTCAATCTCTCATCTTACCATGGTATTAACACTTTCATTTTTTCGATTTCATTATAATTAATTGGTTGATTATTATCACCTTCATTATGACCCTTATCTCATTCTTCACCGTCTACCCATCAAGTGGACACTCAATATTTGCGTTTCTTATCTACCCACAATTTTCACCTTGTCAAACTCCTTGTCTTCCTCGATATTTCTACTGTCATATTTTATTATGCATCTACCTTGTATTCTTGATTTCGGTTTCTCTTAGCACTACATTAATGATGTAATTATACCCTACTATTTTATAACAGACTGTTATATGTTTATGATATACAATATAAATAGAATTGTCCAGCTTTAGAAAATGATATCGTCGAAAAAGAAAATTTTCTATACTGAATTATCTCTTCTCTAGAAATAATAACACAACATACGATTAAGGAGATCAAGGATTCTGTAGGAAAAAAGTAATTACAAGAGAACAATGTCTGCACATCCTCTAATAGACGTGATGTGATACTGGCACACTGTCTGGGTAACTACCACTTATAGCCATTACACCATATATAAACACATGACATCCAAGAAAAACATATCAACATTAGAACTATGTGTGCGTAGGTAGGTAGGTAGGTAGGTGAGTATAGTGTAGAGTTATATGATCACCATACCTATTATTGGCGATTACAAGTAAGGCGTTATTGTTCACAAAACAGCTGACACTAGAGAAACTATGCCTCATTAATGAAGATATTCAATGATGTTTATTTCATAAGAAAGATATCAAGCGGTTGGTAAAATGTGTATGACCAACTTACAGCAAAACCTCTGCATGGAAGTAGAATTTAGTGTTCAGTAAGAATTTCTGTTTGTATACTGTCTATCACCCTTTAATTGATTATCATACTATTGGATAACTGTGCACATCATAGATACTACTTACAATCTATCCGTTGGTTTGAACAGTCAACAGAGATACAAACAACTCCGAACACACACACACACACACACATCTGATCGCTTAATCAATTCACCAAGGTATAACATTTTGTAGCCTTAGTGATAGTAATAATATCAAGGTAACAATTTCTAAGTCACCAAAGTATGCTATGAAGTAACACAATCAGAATAAACATCAATAATTACCAATAGCATGAAAGTAATAAAAAAAAATGAAATTAGGAAGAAACAAATGATTACATAATTGAACATTTAACGAACACCTCCGATGAGAAGAGGGAAAAACCACCTCAATATATACACACACACACAGACATTACCAGAGTACAACGAACAACAAAGTGAATACACTGATTACAATACACTTTAACAACACTAATTTAAAATAGATAAACACTGATATGATAATCATGTACACATATATTTGAGATAATAGGATAGGATGATAGACGAGGGGTGTGGATGATTACCTGTCCAAATAAACGAGATTTTCGACGAATTGAATCACACTGTATAATACATATGTACATATATATATATATATACGGACAAAAGATAAGTAAACAACTTAACAAATGAAAAATGAGTAAAATTTTTAATGTCTTGACTTCTTCCTCTCTATCATAAAGTATACATACATGTTGTATGAAGTAGACAATATTACAAAATGATGATGATGATGAGCATTCTAATATTCAGAGTTTTGTAAACTTCATCTAAGGTACCAATCGAGGAAATCATACTAAGAGTATGATTGTGTCTAACACATCACAGTTTCAAAATAAAAATATATAAACAAACTGAATGTATTCCACCCCAGTCTGTTTATTAGAAATATCACACAGTGAAGGAATAATAGCATTTACTGGATAACAACGTTTCGGACACAATTTATTACTCATATTTATATCAGATCAGGTAACTCCACAACTTTGAGACAAACTTTACATATTCCTAATTTTCTCTCATTCTCTATAATGGCAAGGGTAGTAGAGTTTTCCATATATCTAGGACAGGTACAGAATCATTTCGATTGCTGCATGTATTTGTTGTTGATTCGATAAACAAAGATCCAGTCGGTTATCAATCACTCCCTCCATCAACCCAACTTAGTTAGTTTTCAACACTGTTGTCCTATCCCACCGTACTGTGTACCATCGCATGCAGAGGTACAGCCGAGCTTTTCTCTAGATTTCTTATCTTATTACGATCTAATGATCTTGATTTAACTTAGATTTTGTGCTCTGTTATTCTAATCGACCCTGGTCGACTACTTTGACCTATGCACTTTTCACCTCACAATCATTGGAAGGGATTTGTCTGGTAAACCAGATTATTTCGCTTAATTGGGTCAATAGGATCTTTCAACCTACAAAGCTTGTTTCTAAGTGAGTTTGTTGGTTTGAATGCCACTTTAATCCCAGTCAGCTTTATTGAGAACTCTTCGTAGTGCTTCTGAGGTGCCTTCCTTGTTTGGTAGGTAACACAACAGAGGCTTTGAATTCTCTCTCAACCCTGTCGCCATTATTACTACTAGTAGTGGGATTATTATTAATGACACCTGTATTACTACTACTACTACTACTACCACTGGTAATATTTTTCTTTCGATTTCTTATGAATTTATTTATGAATTTTGGTGGGTAATTACTGAGAAGTAGGGTATTCTTGATGTGTCTAATTTCTTGTCGTAGATTTTACGATCTACTAGTGAGCTTTTTCGCTGTATCACTTAAGCATTTAACTAGGCCTACTTTATATCTGAAATGGGGTGGTAGGATTCGAAGTTTAAGTAGCGATTTCAATGGGTAGTCTCTAAACTTCCGTCTGGTGTTGGTTTATTCTTGCAATCCAACATTGCTAGCTCACCTTCACAGGTAAATTGGATTGCATTCATTACTGAATTTATATATGCCAAGAACCTATTGATTTGTTCTGATTTCAGTACCGTGTACGTATCATCTACATATCGGATCGGAACCATAAGTTTGGAGTAGGGTTAAATGTTTAAAGGGTCATCTGTTATCAACTATCTATAAATATGTCTGCAATGATAGGGGATATTGGTGATTCCATGGCAACACCTTTAGTTTGTTTATATATTTTATTTTGAAACTTAAAAACTGTAGATATTAGGCACAATCGTACTCCGAGTATGATTTCCTCGATCGGCAGCTTAGTTCGCTGCGTAAGTTCTTTGTCATGGGATCACCAATATCCCCTATCATCGCAGACATACTTATGGATAGTTGGGAACAGGTAGCCCTTCAAACATTTAGTTCTACTCCAAAGATATGGTTCCGATATGTAGATGATATGTTTTCAGTAGTGAAATCGCAACACATCAATAGGTTCTTGGCATATATAAATTCAGTAGTGAATACAATCCAATTTACCTGTGAAGGTGAGCTAGCAATGTTGGATTGCAAGATTAAACGAACACAAGAAGGAAATCTAGAGACTAGTGTCTATAGGAAACCCACCCATTCAAATCGCTACTTAGACTTCGAATCCTACCACCCCATTTCAGATATAAAGTAGGCCTAGTTAAATGCTTAAGTGATACAGCGGAAAAGCTCACTAGTAGATCGTAAAATCTACGACAAGAAATTAGACACATCAAGAATACCCTACATCTCAATAATTACCCACCAAAATTCATAAATAAATTCATAAGAAATCGAAAGAAAAATATTACCAGTGGTAGTAGTAGTAGTAGTAGTAATACAGGTGTCATTAATAATAATCCCACTACTAGTAGTAATAATGGCGACAGGGTTGAGAGAGAATTCAAAGCCTCTGTTGTGTTACCTACCAAACAAGGAAGGCACCTCAGAAGCACTACGAAGAGTTCTCAATAAAGCTGACTGGGATTAAAGTGGCATTCAAACCAACAAACTCACTTAGAAACAAGCTTTGTAGGTTGAAAGATCCTATTGACCCAATTAAGCGAAATAATCTGGTTTACCAGACAAATCCCTTCCAATGATTGTGAGGTGAAAAGTGCATAGGTCAAAGTAGTCGACCAGGGTCGATTAGAATAACAGAGCACAAAATCTAAGTTAAATCAAGATCATTAGATCGTAATAAGATAAGAAATCTAGAGAAAAGCTCGGCTGTACCTCTGCATGCGATGGCACACAGTACGGTGGGATAGGACAACAGTGTTGAAAACTAACTAAGTTGGGTTGATGGAGGGAGTGATTGATAACCGACTGAATCTTCGTTTATCGAATCAACAACAAATACATGCGGCAATCGAAATGATTCTGTATCTGTCCCAGATATATGGAAAACTCTACTACCCTTGCCATCATAGAGAATGAGAGAAAATTAGGAATATGTAAAGTTTGTCTCAAAGTTGTGGACTTACCTGATCTGATATAAATATGAGTAATAAATTGTGTCCGAAACGTTGTTATCCAGTAAATGCTATTATTCCTTCACTGTGTGATATTTCTAATAAACAGACTGAAATGGAATTACAATCGACCACAGTGTCCAAGTTTTACTCTTATATCAGAGTGTTGTAGACTTTATCTGCAGTACATATATTGTTGATCCTCGGTAGATGGTAGATATGCAAATAAAACAGTCAGTCTACCTTTGTCTTTGTAGTATAGGCCATGTGTCAGTAACTTAGAAATCAGGCATAGGATTTTAGGCAGATGACACAGTAAATGAACTATCATCGCCTCAGATGACTGTGATATGTGGTACGTATGCCTAGTGAACGTCTGCCTCACCGTGTAATATCTGCTAGAGTATGTTAAGGCTGGGAAGAGATTACACGAGATAAAACTAAAACATACCATCATTTCATGAAGTCGCTGACTATCAGTCTGAGCTATGTAGAGCTCCCGACAGAGATCAGAGTGACACAAGCATAATCAGCGATTGGAGATTACGCGATAGAGGTCACAGTAGATCTCAGCGATACGGATGCAGTCGTCATCCGGAATTTCGTTATCCCTTCATCTTCGCGCTTTCTACCTTGAAATGCTGATATGAGGTGCGACAAGTTGAACCATTACTTAATAACACATCCGGTCTGATATTTATGCCGATCGACAGCAGGATATAACAAGTGAAAGACTATTGGCTGCATAATTTCATTTCATGAATACTTTCTAACATGTGCTTATCTGCTCTTGATAGGAATGTGTTACTCACAGTCTACACAGCCTAGATATCATCATCAAGGGTTATTAATAACACCTAACAATCTATAACTTACAGTAACATGGATTACTACAGACATTGGAATTCATTGACGGCTGAGCACACCACTTGGAAACCTCAAAAAGAAGTGAACCCCTTAAACAGCACATTTCAACAGATATATCCAGACTTTTAATTACGGCAAGCGCTAAATACAGTCAAAGTAGTACTGACAACGAAGTTGTAGATACGATCATAATAAACAATGATATATATATAACGGAAATAGTACATTGGTAGCATACAAAATTTTTATACAGAGCTGAACTTTACATAATTAAGATACTAAATGTATCTGTTGAACTGATTTGTATCAAAATTCATTATGCAAAAACGGTAAACACACATTTAAAGTAACCAAAACAAACCTCTTTTCATAGTTGGCCTCCTCATAAAGTCAGACATCTGCTTATATAAATACTAAGACGTGGGGATAACAGTAATAAAAAACAAACACGTACCTATCTACTTTATAATTTTCATAATAATGAATGGAAATTGTTATAAGTGAGAATATTGTTATATTGTTACAGTTATAACCTACACGATAACTGTAAACTACTTTGAACTGAAGAATTTGTTTCTTAATCCTTTCTAGCATCTTCCTAGTGTTGATAAAGTGCTTATGATAATGTGAGGTAGAGGAAACATTGTATTCTGCCATAGCATCACACTTCGTATGGCAAGCCTAATGTAAGCATACTTAGAAGGAACCTTTCCATGTTATAAGCTTATAAGTCTACGTCGTTGAATAGATCGGACAATACTGGTCGATATTGTGAAATTTTTCAGTTTAAACATTAATGATGGATAGTGACTAGTAGTGTTTCTTCTGAATTAGAACTGACTTATCACCTGGACTGATGCTGTTTCTACACAGACTCGGACTCAAGACTAGTCACTTCAAACGCTAAAGCCATCCATCCAAGTCAACATAGGACCAGGGATTACTGCATAAAAGTCCAAATTGCCACACCTCATATCACTACATCAAGTAAAAAAACAGTGAAGTGGAAGATGAAGAAAAGAAAGTTCAATCGGAAATATATATATAAAGTATTCAAAGAGAGAAAGGAAGAATGAGAAAATGGTGAGATTCAGTAAAGAGCTAAGATGAGGATAACGTGTGTATACATCGCCACTCACATCCCTTATCGGCCATGATACATCACCTACACTCAGTCTTCAACCACTGGTTTCTCTTGTCTCACCAACACCAGCCACATAGTCTGCATCGCCACCCCACATGCTTCAAACCAACAATCAAATACTTCATATAGTGATGCCATGTTTTACTATGGTCACCTCCACCCTTTTCTTAGTCTCAACCAATTTCCCCCAACATTGTGTGACAAGGTAATCGGTCACTAGGCACACGTAATACGTGTCATAGCCAGACATCTCAGTCGATAAATGCTCACAGTTGCATCTCCTGTCTACAACTCTACACCTCACTTCTGCGTTACTCACACAGTGACACCATGGAATACAGAATACGGTATACATACTATGAAGGCAACGGTGGTCAAACATCTGAAGCCCACCTTCTCATGTCATCCACCTTCAATGGCCATGTTTCACACCTGTACAGTGGAAGAGAGCCGACTGCTGTGCACTACACGTCACCCTTAATAGACAGTCGGATATCACGACAGTGCCACAGGTGACGTAAGTTGGCAAAAGCCAACCGAGCCTTTTATGTTCGTGCGGAGATTTCATTGGCCACTTACCAACGCACAAGGGATGATCCTACTTCTCAGGTAAATGAAGTAGTCGACACACAACCAATACACTCACTCTCTATTGTTAGCCGAGGCACCGTTGAAGACCAATCGTGGAGCAACAGTTTGCATTTGGGTGATGAGAAACGCATCCCAAACATTCCCAAATTCCCACTCAAAGTGTACTTGAAAAGTAAATAAGTACATTTGAAAGCTCGGCACAGAAAGCTTCAATAATGGCGCATTTACATTGTTATAAGAATTCAGCTGTGACTGATAACATTGACAAAATTAACGTGGGATCTCACACACAAATGATACATCGGTTCAAGTTGTCATACTTCATAGAAGCAAACAAAGAACAAGTGGATAGAGAAAGACTCATATCAAAGTAGACAAGGTTAGTGCAAATACTCAAGCTTCAGATGATGTGACCTATTTTCAGCCATGTCACCAACAGTCCTTCAATCGCTGAATCCTTTTGTTTCGAGCACCCCAACCAGGCAGTCGACATCTTCCCACATGTGTCAGACCGACATTCAGAGAATTCATTGACTAGTGTCACGTCTTTATCTTGTCACCCTGAACCCTTTTACATCCGAATCCAACTTCCCCTAACATCGCAAGTTGACGTAGGTGAGAGATAGGCGTGTCCAGAACATGTCCAAGCCGTCTCAGGTTCACAACTTCATCAATAGACTTGCCTGAGGTCAACAATGCTTACATAGTGATCCCAGCAAACATGAGGAATGCTACAAAGACATCTTTAATCAAAACCCTGAAATCGTTTGATTTCTTCAACCAGTGGCCCACGGGGCTTCCGGTTGGTTCAAAATTCACCGTGGCCGAAATTTCCATTTCATCTTCAATTACCACTCAGTATCAACTGTAAGCAAAGTTGTGTAGGATTGATCCAACAAAACAAGATAGCATAATTGATTATATCCTTCTACGCCATGTTCTCTGACATTTTCACCCTTTTATGCTGCCGTCTCATAGGCAACATCAAGTAGCCCACTGTCTTTATCATAATTCCTAGAGGAATGATAACAATTTCAAGTTGATACTCATCATGAACTGATATCAGGGGAACAGTGGGAACATGGGACGGCTGTTTTATCCTAATATGGGGCTCCTCAGCAATGTGCACCCATAACCCCGCTAGGGATCGAACTCAGGACCTTCAAGTTCCGTGGTCAAGTACATTATCATTAAGTCACTGGGTCGGAGGAATCTAATGGTTTACATTTTCAACTTCTATGAGTTCATGATACAGAGCGACCATCATCTTATGTCATTGTTGAGTTTTTGTCCTTATGAACGCTAGATTTGCCTCCCTGGTCACGACTTTTCATTAGAACTTCAGGAATCATCTCTCGAAGCTAGTCATCAATGAGCACTAAATTAATTTAATTCGAGGGGGTTTGTACGGATTTATTACTTTCAAGTTGATATTCAGAAATACAAAATAAAGACCATTGGTTCGCTACCCAATGGCTGAATGGTAACATGTTGGCAGCAGAACGTGAACGCCATGGGTGCGGCACTGCTGAGGAGTCTCGTACTAGGATGAAACAGCTGTTTTCCAGTGTTTCGACAACTGACATCAGTCCATAATGAATACTAACTTAAAATCAATAAATCCCTTCCCCCACAAACCCCTAAATTGAATTATAACCATGTGAATATGAGTGGAATATTTGCTATGACGTAATGATACAGTGGTTTTTGAAATTCTATCAAAGGGTTAACTTTCTTTTACAAAATTAGTTTACGGAATAGAAATTATGGTCGATCTAGGCGAATGAGCATACAGAAATCCCCTGTAGAAAGCTAAATACTGAATAGATTCTTTTTAATTCCGGTATGCCCTAGTATGTCTTCCTTGTAGTTACCTTCAATCATGCCACCTGTGCAATTAGCTCGTAACCAATGTCTAATAGATAACTAATCAATATCAGATATTTGTGGCATCAGTTGAAGAAACAATTGTTTCGTCCCAACATGTGACTCATTAGCAGTGTGTACTTATCACTTCGTCCAGGACTTTCAGGTTCAACAGTCAGTGGTTTAACCACTGAGCCACTGGGTCGGCATCCAACAATCTTGACGAGATCAAGTGTGCGTAATGCTGAGTCTCAAACTACGAGGAAATAGATCGTGATGAAAGTCACCTTGAAATCAAGAAACCCCCAGAAACAAGTTGAAGTTCAATTGGTTCTGTAGTCAAACTTCACTTAACAAACTTTGATTTGGGAAAATATCCAGTATCATAAGATCTGACAAATTGAATTTAGCGCATGAAATAAGAAACAAACCTGAACTAGACTACTAATACAGCATGGATATTCAACGAAAGGTTTAATTTAAGGAAGATAAACACACATACCTCTTTCTCCAAAATCCCTCTGACCTCTTCACGAGTATCTACAAGACGACGTTTTTGTACATCATTAATTTTATGCAATGTATTCACACGACTAGCTAAATCATTCATTGATTTACCAAAATGATCCATCACACCTAAACATTCACGTAGATAACTATTTTCAAAGAAAGGAGAACAGATTGGGATGATAATAATAATAGTAATAATAATAATAATGGCTTCATTGATATACTTCTGATACTCCGTTGTTTTGTTGGGTCGAATGGTTCGACCTCTAGCCACAACCAACCGAATGACCATAATTACCATTCAGGCAATATAAGAGGCATCCGCATTAGGAGCCCATATACCAATAGACGTTGAACAATTGGATCCAATAAAACAACGGAGAACTACAAGTATATATCAATCAAAAGTATAATAATTACTATCCACTGTACAAGAAGTGACCATTCTTCCTCCATGACATAATGGATAACGCCTAGACGTTTGAAGCGATGGGGGTACGAGGTTCGAATCTTAATGGGAACAACATCACTCTGTATCATTGAGATCCAGGTACATTCAGCTGATGAGTCCGAAATAAGACGAAACACGCATTCTGGATTCCTCTACTAGGTACAACCAACCAAATTAAAATAATGGCTTTATTCTAAAAGCTATTTCAGGAATACTCTACAAAATTTTCACGTCTTATAGCATCAATTGGACAGAGACAGTGTACATGTACACATAGCAAAATGAATATAAGTAGAAATTACATACAAAAAGATAAGAACAATGACTCTATCTACAACTTTCTTGAAGATCTGAAGTTAATTTTAGTAGACAGTCATATTGGCAATTACATCTATAATACATAAATAGTAACATAGTATGTACTCACTAATTAGTTTGCTTTCTTCATTGCACAGCAGACAAGCTAAATACGGCATAGTATTGTAGAGTTTTTATATATTACAGTACGTGTATAAAATCTTATATACTTGCTCCTTGTCTTTCTAGATGACCAACACAAGTAGACAATTGTGAGTAAAAAGGATCTTGGCTATCTGATAAAATAACTCCTGCTAAATATTGACATGAAGTTAAGATATTTCTCTACAACAGTTTCATAATTAGAAAGTTTAGAGGTACATCACTAGTTCTACACAATATAGCATAGTCTATTTTCAGCAAACCAGGAGAAAATAAAGGGGAACAGTAGAGGGGGACAGGTAAGATGCAGGCGTTTATAAAACACAAGATGAGAATCTGAGTAATAATCAGATACTCTTAGCTTCTGAATATAGAATAGTTAGGTGAAAAATTCGCTGAGAAATTAGTAACATACAGGAGGACGAGGAAAGGTCCGAAGAGAATCACACTTGTAACATTCTCTAATGCACAACTATCAATTAAACAGGAATCATGAGAACCAACCAGTTTACACAGGTTATGTTCACGTCTAAAACTAAAGTTTACAGTCGAACACTTTGAAGAATTAAGTATAAGACCATTCACGGAGGGATCATCGTTTAACACAGTAGATAGGAAATCATTTCGTTGGAAAAAATCTGTTGAAGAGGAGATATGTATGGAAACTGTTAGGTTATCAGCATATTTGATGAAATTGACACCAGCTGAAGAATGATAAATCATGCAAAAGGAGAAAAGATAAGGAGAAAGGACGACTCCTTAGAGAACACCAGTCGCAGTAAGCAAACAGTCAGACTATGGCGTAGAGTCACGTTATATTGCGAATTGACAGAAGTAGGAAACTGTGAAGTATTGACTTTTGGCCCAGTGGTTGAACGGTTAACGCATTCGCCGTGAAATCTGAAGGTATTCAGTTTAGTCCTTTCCAAGGTCGTGGGTGCGTACTGCTGAGGAGTCCCATAATAGGATGAAACAGCTAGCTGTCAAGTGTTCCCATTCTTTCAGTACTTCTCCAAATGATATCAGTCCATGATGAATTATTATTATTTGTCCCTTAGGTTCTAGTGGAATATAGGGCTTCAGTAGCTCGTCTACATTCCACTCTCTTTTCTACAATCTTTTGAACCAGAAGCTTTCATTTCTTCCTTACACGATCTCCTCCATGTCATCCACAGCTAGGACGCCCAACTAATCGTTTCCCATCTGGGTTCCACTCGAGTGCCTGACATGGCGCGTGATGTCTCCGAATGGTCTTCTCAGTACATGCCCAATCCATATCCACTTCCTTCGGCATATTTGTCGGGCGACAGGTTCTTGGTTGGTTCGTTGCCAGCGAGTGTTCCTTGTTGCTTATTCTTATTATTCTGGCCATCTGATCTTCAGTATCAAGCGAGAGTAGAGGGCAGTTGTTGATGAATACCTGTAGTTTGTTAGAAATGTCTTTTGTAACGCGTCAAGTCTCTGAACTATATAGAAGCACTGACTTGACTGAATTGGTGTTGAAAATCAGGATATTGTTCTTTATGCTGAGTGCAGAAGATCTCCACTCTGGTTTCAGATTAATGAAAGCCTGTCTTGCTGTCTTTCCGATCCTAGTTTCGACGTACTTGTCTGTGCCGCCACCTGGAGTTGAAACGATGCTACCTAGGTAGGTAGGTGGAAGAGACGACTTCCTTTAGGTTTCTCCCGTTGACGGTGATTATAGCTTGTTGTGGTTAGTGGTGGTGTTGTTTGTTGGGTATCTTCATCACCTCTCACTTCTTTATGTTTACTTGAAGTTCCGTTTTCGCTGCTCTGTCTCTTCTGTCAACTTGTTGGATTTTGCTTGTAGATCTTCAAGTTCATGCGACATAAGACACAAGTCATCGGCGAAATCCAAATCTTCTAGGATCTTTTCCTCGGTCCAGCGTATCCCGCTCTTCTAGCTCCTCGCGGTTTGTTTCATGAACTAGTCCACCATAATCATCATGATCATCGGTGATAGTAGACAGCCTTGTTCCACTCCTGTCTTCCCTTCACCTCAAAGCATCACTGAGCTTTCCGTTGAGGATCACTTGGCATATGGCGTCTTTATATAGCTGCTGTTGAATAAGGCTGATAAAGGTTTGTGGTATTCCATAGTGTTAGAACAGTTCCCAAATTACTTGTCGGTCGACGCTGTCGATGAAGTTGACACACAGAGAGTTGACTGCCATGACGAATACTAACTTAAAACATACTCATAAAATAATAAAAAGTACTGACAATTATATCGATTAAAAAAAAGTAACTTTATCCACTAATCTTTTAACTGTAAACCATTAAAGTGACTCGCCTCAAGATGAATGTTCTTCAAGACTTCGATGTGAAGCAGCGTGTCGTAGTCTCAAATAATCTAATACCAAGAACAGATAGAAACTTGTAGACGAAATGTTACCATTGCTATTAATTAATAATTGTATATTCTTATATAGTTTGAAGAGGTAATGATACTATGATTTGACTGGTAAAATGTGAATAAGTAAAGCTGGGTTCGATCCCATGACTCATTTAGTTAAAAGTCAACTCAAGCCTAAACCAATAACCAACAGCTCTACAATATACTTTGAACAGGTTTAGGATTGTTAAAGAGAATAAGCAAATACGACTTGATCATATAGAGACTAGAGTCAGATACGGTGTCAACAAGAAACCTTCAGCGTTTTACAAAGTTATGAAGTTCAATTTCAGTACTAACCTGATAAAAAAGTCAAAGGATAATAATGATGGACTTATCGTGTAATACATATAACTCTTGAGCTGAGTGCTATGATAGTGTTTAAGATAGATAATGACTAAAAGGGGACTTGAATGCTGACATATCTGACAATGGTCGACTCTTCCCGACTATCTACATCATGTAAAGTTACTCCTTGAGTTACTTGAAAAAGACAATGAGTTCATAATGATGTTATTAATGTCCTAAATGAGAATAATAAATACATGTCGAATACAGAAAAATTGGAAAATAAATAAAAATAATTTTCAATAATCACTTACTGAGTTTGAACATAGAAGAAATCAATTAAATGTTGTAGAAGATCTGCACTACGTTTCGCTTTCAATTCATTCACTTTAATCAAATACTGGAAAAAAATATTTCCAATCAGAAGAAAAATATCATGGAAACGAAAATATGGTTAAATACTTTTGTCTATAAAATAGTCTAAAATTAAGGATAGGTTAATGTTTTTCTATGATTTAAACTTCAGATTGTCAAAAGAAACTACAATACTGATTCTCACCTTGTGTATTGTTGTCTAACTCAAGAGTTACCATTTATCACTAAAGAAATATGCACACTATTTGAACGAGTACACTGACCGAATAAAACAACCTATCTGCATATTATCATCGATAATCCTCCTGATTGTGGTCGACTATACTGGACTCGACTGGATCATGCAACAAACAACTATGAGGAGTGAGAAGATGGACATACACTGTTTGACTGATGAAAAGATCATAGAAGATTTGGATTAATGCCCATGATGATTTATGTCTAGCGTCTTATGTCACACAAACTCGAAGATATACAGGCGAAAAATAACAAGTTGGCAGAAGTGGCAGAGCAGCCAAGGAAGACGGCACTTCCTTCAGGTGAACATACAGAAGACACAAGCACCAATCACCATGAACGAGAGTAATCTAAAACAAGTTGTCTCCCTCATCTACTCACCTAGGCAGCATCGTTTCAACTACAAGCAGTGGCACACGCATAGATGAGGATGTCAAAACCAGTTAGGATAGGAAAGACACCAAGACATGCTTTTATTAACCTGAAATCAGTGTAGACATCTACTGCACTGCACTCAGCATAAAGCGTGAACAACATCCGCATTTTCAACACTACTAATTTCAGTCAAGTAAGTCAGTGCTTCTATGTGATGGTTGAGAGACTTGGCACATTATGGAAAGCATTTCGAACAAACTGCAGACATACATGAACAGCTTCTGCCTACACTCACTCAATACTGAAGATGAAAATCAAATGGCCAGAAAGAATGATTGACAAGGAACTCTGATTGGCAACGAACCAACCAAGAAGCTATCGCCCAACACATATGTAGAAGAAGAAAGTGGAGATGAATTGGATTGGGTTGGACATACACTGAGAACACTGTTTCTGGACATCACGCACCAGGCTGTCGAGTGGAAGCCAAATGGAAAACGACCAGTTGGGCGTCGAAGGCGAGGATGACATGGAGGAGATGGTGTGAGGAAGAAATGTAAGCTTATAAGGAGTCATGGAGCCGTATTAAAGGGACTGATGAAAAGAGAGTGAAATGGTGACATGCTACTGAATCCCTTTGTTCCACTAGAAAGCCAAGAGACAAGTAATGATAATTATAATGTGTAACTGTTCATCTGAGCCATATTGTGAAGTGTAGGCTGTCCAAGATTCTGAAACTATTAGGAAATGGTGACTTGAAAACGCCTGATCACATGATTCTAAAGTGATCATATCCATTTTATTTGTCTCAACCTTCTTTCTTCCCTCTTTTACTTCAATTTATTTCCCATTGTTGTATGGTATGGAGATTCTATTTTGTAGTTTTCATACGTCATGTATCACTACTAATCATTGTTGTGTAATGAATCATTACACTGTACGCTACTAACTTGTCTGTTGGACTTTAATTTTGTAATGCTAGTCATTACCACTAGCCCGTTACATAGTTTTACACTTTTATTAAGACTGTCTCGGTTGTATTGTGTTTACTGAGCTGGGTTGTTTAATCGTGAAGCTTTCATCGTCTTGCTAGACGACATCATCATCAACACTAACTTCAGCTCAGAGAACACAATACAACCAAGACCATCCACCTGAGCTACAAATATTCCCCATTATGTTAAGACTGTTAATGTCATATTGCATAATGATCCGTATTCGGGACTATACAGTATGTGATTATTTGCTTTCCAGTGTATCTAAACCAGTCCTACAAAATGTTAGTGGTAACTTCGCTGACTACAACACTGGGTAACTGTGAGTTCGAACTACAGAAGAGACATCAGTTCCTTCCACCTTCTATATAGGCCTTGGTGATGAGTGTCTGTAACCAACTAACAATCACGAAGGTGCACTGTGGTGGCGGTAAGTCTGTTAGCTTGGTTGCCATATTGAAAAATTATTGATTGAAGACAGTCAACACTTTGGAGACTAGACAACATGAAATCAGTTCCTATCCTGTGAACAATCAATGTAAATACTACTGTTTATTTAGTAGTATGAAGATTATTATTATTTTTATTTCTCCCTTGGCTTTCTAGTGGAACAAAGGGATTCAGTAGCATGTCACCATTTCACTCTCTTTCCACCAGTCCCTTTAATACGGCCCCATGACTCCTTATAAGCTTACATTTCTTCCACACACCATCTCCTCCATGTCATCCTCGCATTCGACGCCCAACTGGTCGTTTTCCATTTGGCTTCCACTCGACAGCCTGGTGCGTGATGTCCAGAAACAGTGTTCTCAGTGTATGTCCAACCCAATCCAATTCATCTCCACTTTCTTCTTCTGCATATGTGTTGGGCGATAGTTTCTTGGTTGGTTCGTTGACAACCAGAGTTCCTTGTCAATCATTCTTTCTGGCCATTTGATTTTCATCTTCAGTATTGAGTGAGTGTAGGCAGAAGCTGTTCATGTATGTCTGCAGTTTGTTCGAAATGCTTTCCATAATGTGCCAAGTCTCTCAACCATCACATAGAAGCATTGACTTACTTGACTGAAATTAGTAGTGTTGAAAATGCGGATGTTGTTCACGCTTTATGCTGAGTGCAGTGCAGTAGATGTCTACACTGATTTCAGGTTAATGAAAGCATGTCTTGGTGTCTTTCCTATCCTAACTGGTTTTGACATCCTCATCTATGCGTGTGCCACTGCTTGTAGTTGAAACGATGCTGCCTAGGTGAGTAGATGAGGGAGACAACTTGTTTTAGATTACTCTCGTTCATGGTGATTGGTGCTTGTGTCTTCTGTATGTTCACCTGAAGGAAGTGCCGTCTTCCTTGGCTGCTCTGCCACTTCTGCCAACTTGTTATTTTTCGCCTGTATATCTTCGAGTTTGTGTGACATAAGACGCTAGACATAAATCATCATGGGCATTAATCCAAATCTTCTATGATCTTTTCATCAGTCAAACAGTGTATGTCCATCTCCTCACTCCTCATAGTTGTTTGTTGCATGATCCAGTCGAGTCCAGTATAGTCGACCACAATCAGGAAGACGATTGGTGATAGTAGGCTGCAACCACCTTGGCGTATTCCTTTCTGCTTTCACTCCAAAGGCATCACTGAGCCTTCCACTGTGAATCATTCGGCATGTAGCATCCTCATATAGCATATAGCTACTGTTGAGTGAGTTTGGTGAAAGTTTTTAGCACTAAAACTGTAGTGCTGAGGCAGCTACCAAATTACTTCTTCGTTAACGTTGTCGAAGGTCTTTTCAAAGTCGATGAAGTTGAGGTAAAGAATTGGCTGCTATTATATTCTCTGTTCTTCGATGTTGCGTGACTTGTTTTTGCTGAAGCCAGCCCGTTCCGGTTGTACTTTTGAATCCAGGTAATTTTTTTAGCTATGGATTGATATCTTGATTTCATTTTCAGTTAACTTTCAACTTACCCTACTTTAGCTAGTATAGGAAGTTACTGTAGAAAGTCATTGTTGTAGATATTTCAGCTAGTAAGAATTGATAACTACAATAACAGTTAACTTTCCTTTGATTCCATACGCCCTACGCCTAATCTTAACACTACCCAGTGTTTGGTTTCACCACAGACATTCAAAGCTATGCAGATATATATACATGATTAAAGACCTGTAAGTGGAATGGTGCCTAATTGGTCTAAGCACCCGACTTTCAACCAATGGGGACATGCGTTTGAATCTCGCAAGCAAGTAGCATCACCATCCTTTTTTTACATTATAGTTGTGGCTTATTGCCTACTGATGCACAAATGTGCACATGGTTGATGAGTGAATTTCGATTCGATCTTTTTGAAAAACCTATAACCTCGCGTATTGTATTTTCACCAATTAAATCTCATGACTGCAGGTGTAGAACAAAGTGGACTGAAATATACACAGTAAGCTTATCACTTGGATATCGATGTATATTTCATTTTTTGGGCAGGGAATACCGAAACTGTGAAGTTATGATATCTATTTAACGTCGAGTGTATACATAGATTATATGCCGACGTTTGAGTATACGCTAGAGGAATAATAAGTAAACCTCGACGACAAGATGTAGGCGCTAAGTTTGACGTACTACGCTATTGATAAGATTCAGGCTTTATGATGGAACTATTAATCATTCACTAACCTAAACGATTAGTTTGCATTCTAACATCTTACACAATATGTGTCTATTGAACTGTTTTTAAAACGCATTTTGTAAACAAGTGAGAAAATTCATAGGATAATGTGTATACGCTGCATCGCGAAATCATTCGTCTCGCAATACAAACTTTCGTGAAGGGGCACTTATCTATGTGTTAACTGGAACAAAAAGGACAATGAGTCACACCTAGTGTATGAGGGCTAATGATACTACCTGACTACTGCCTAAATCTCGGTAGGCAGAGTGCGGCTCAAACCCGTGACCCAGTAAATCATTTAGATAGCATTATTACTCGCCAGTTTGTTATAATACACAACACTACACTAAAGTTGACGTTTCTGTCACAGGAAAGATACTGTAGAAGACTGAAGCAACTGTGGTTCAGTAGTCCAGGTTTTTTTTTCACTTTCAGCTAATCAGTGTCACGTCCTAACTTCACTTTAACTCACTGACTGAAGTTCTAACAACCAAGTGGAACGATTCGTGCTCATATAGCCAGTTTCAGAGTCTGGTACACAAACATGCATGCAGTTGTCGGCTTACATTTATCCTCATGCTAAAGCATTTATGGAATAACAACAGAAACAATAAATAAGATTGGCGAAATGCTGCTAACTGCTAGCACGCCCTAAAGAACAGAATATGCTTTAGATCAGTGCAGGCTGTCCCATACTAGTGCTTACTACACCATTTCCTTATTTTAACCGTATCCAGAAAGAACGAGAGCAACAATCAATCAATTATGAATGTCCATTACGTGTCTACCTTGGTTCTCATTTGTTCACATTTTGATTAAGCTGCCTACACTTTAACGCCTTGTAAACTTCCCAAACAGTTTGCTATATACAAATAATTGTATATTGTATGGGTTTACAGTCTAACTTGGTCTTCCCTTCAAGTCAGCTGGTGTGATGTTAGCGGTTGTAGGATGATCGTAAACATAGTAACTCGAAGAATAGTACCATTTAGGATCAATCATACGACCCAACAGGAAACGTAGATCGAGGTAAGGATCAGTAACATCGGCCAAACCGTCAAGATAGGGGGATATAACAGCTTTCTTAACACTATGCACTACTAGTTTGATGAATAAAATAAGATAAAGTAATTACAGTGTATTTATAGGCTTACCTCACACGTTTCTAGTTGTAACCGCCTGCGTTCTTTTTCTAAATCTTTTGTCATACCTTCTGTAAATGCTTCAGGAGCATAGCAACCAGTTTCTTTCATGATTTGTAACTTTTCCTTGCGTAGTTTGTCACTGTTTACAACAAGAATAAAGTGATTATTAGGACAAATCTTAGGTTTTAAGTAAGTATGCTTTTGTAATTCCAAACCGAATGACAAGGATAGTGATCACTGATCACATGAAGTCAGAAATAGAGTCTTAGGAAGGAGAGGTAAGACAGTTGATGCGGTTGTGAACTTTCATCGACTGAAATGACTAGTTGGCGCATGTGTTAAGAATGCCTAACCACCATCTGCCTCATAGCACAATGTTGGCCGAAGTAGGTTCAGGTTGGAAAAAGGTTCGAGGCGGTAAGCCTAAAATATGGCATAGCTGCATGAAGTCCTTGACTGTTTGTTTGAGCAATGTAGGGAGGCGCAGACTACCCGGTTGGGGTCCGCTGGACAACAGAAACCAGTGGTTGGAGACTGATTCTAGGTGATATTAGTCGCTATACTCAGTCTCATCACTTCACTCTCCGTTCCTCTTTCTACTTCTACTTCCTTTGACCGATTTTTCATTAATTTATCTTCCATTTCATTAACTTTTCACTTAAAAAGCTGAAATGAGGTGAGGTGTGGCAACTTGGACTGTTACTCAGTAACTCCTGGCTGGTCCTATGTTGATATTGATGATGACCCTTTTGACACGGTGGTCGGGCTTGTACACATATCACAATGACTCAGTGAGCCATGTCGACTGGAAGAAGTATTCCCTGAGGTACTGTAATTCACAAAGGTCTGTAGGATAACGTTAAGACAAACGCCAGTTACCGTAATTATCATTTACGCTATAATGGGGGTCCGATGGAGAATTACAGTCAGTTGCACGGAGTGTAAAGGCAGCAATGTGTTTTCTGCAGGTGGCCATCACTGTGTTGACGCTGCCTTACCTATGGGATGGCGGGAGATTAGAAAATCTCGGTCTCATAAACAGGACACTCTTCCCCAACCTGCAGTTTTTTAGTGAGAGGAAAGTGGGCCTTGTAGGTGATTTCAAAGCAACCAAACATATATCTCAAACTTCCACAGAAAAGCTTTGTGATCGACCTGAAGCTTAAGTTGTTTGGGTTCTGCTATCACCCCCTCGGAACGCTAATACCACCATTAATTCATCGTATTTTTCAAGTACCTCAAGAAGTAACTTTTCACGGCGTGGGTTGTCAGGAAGAATCGACCATTCGCACCTCTGTCATCACTCAAATCCCCTTTGGTCATTATCAACCTCATACACCATCATAGTTCAATATCTCTCTCGCCTAAAATTATAACGTCTCCTGCAATTTTTTCCATGAATTTAACCTCCCATAATGATTCAAGTCCGCGAAATAATTATCATAGTCTCCAGAAACCCGGATCTTAACTACAAATAAGAACTTTCAATGTCCATGCCCCCCATCAAACTCTACAAAAACTTGGATGGTCAAAACTCTGGCATTCATATAAGAATAAAACTTGGGCAGTGTGGTTTTAGTTTATGTATTAGATGCGTTATGCAGTGAAATAGTATTTGCTGCATAACACTTCTGACACGACTTACTGTCTGTATTCATCCATATTATTCCTATTCACACACTTGATATAAATAGGGACAATAGATTGTGTTCAAAACTGTATCACTGTGATACATCTAATACATAAACTAAAAGAGAAAACTATGGTAGCTAAACCAAAACGCATGTTTTATGTTTGCGTGATACGCAGACAAGGTCCAAGCATGGTAATTCGCTTCACCTAATCAAAACAATATAACGAATCTTCAAGATTTACTCTCCTATTTTTTGTACATTCCTCGACTGCTTCTCGTCATCCTTCAGAGGTAGGTATAGTGGTGAGCCAGAACAAGCACAATGGTGACTAACTGCTACAACTGCACTCAGACAACTACATATTCCTGACCAACACATTCTAGACACCACAAGGTACTGACCTCGTGTCCCCTAAAACTCAATTCAATGGTGTATGCATACAAACTACACAGCTATTACTTATTAGTGGAAAGGGTGAGTAGAAAACTCCCGTTTCTGTTAGGGTATGAATTTAGATAGTGACCACGTTTTGACTCGCGCTTGCCTGCCTGTACCCGAATTGTTGTAGAAAAACTACAGCTGCAAAACTGTGACGAGTGCAGCTGGATTATCAGGATTTTAGGGGTTGCTTTCGAAGACAAGCCACCTACCTAGACAGTTATCTGAACAGAACACCGTCAGTCATCCTAAAGGAGATTGGTACCATCTCCAGTCTACTGTACAGACAGTATTTACGACCATTATTGACACCTACATTAAAGTTAGAGAAGTCCGAAAGACCTCACCAGCTCCTTCTCAATTAAATACATCGCTCAAGGCTACCAGAAAGATCGCAAGCCGAAGCAACTCAAATTTAGACTGGCAAACAGCCAGAGGAATGACGATGAGTAGTGGTGGCCAGTGAACGCTAAGCACTCAAAGGAGCGACTCGTAAGTACGTAATTCCACTGAAGGCTGTGTATTCGAACACCAGTGAAACTGCCAAGGATTGCGATAAAGTCTGAGTTGTCTACAATGAGTGGTAGAGCTACGACCCACTGGTCTAGACACTTGACTTTTAAATGACAGGTCAGGGTTTAAACTCCATTTCCCTAACAAAGTCTAGGCAGTCAGGTAGCATCATTAGTCGTCACGTAATAGGGTGATTCCTTGGTTACTGCAATAAAATGTATGTGGTCGCTGAGTGTGCTTCGATTTCGACCTCAATTGGTGACCGTCAAGGATGTCCACCGTTTCTAATTTCATTTAACTTTGATATAGATATGCTTATTGACGTCTCCATACTCTTGTACGACTTTACAAGTATTGATCTCGTTGTAGAAGATTCCCTAATTTACCTAGATTACGCAGATGACCCATAAGCTGCTGCTTCTGGCATGGTCTGTGTGAATACCACATCTGATGACAGAAAATGAAATGATTGAGTGTATTGACCCCCCTACTTACTCTGGAAGTCAAATTATCCTGACAGTTCAGTGATAAATGAAATCTTGATACACAAACAAAAAGCACAACTGGTATTTATTAGCTTCAATCATCTATGGCACCAGTGAAACAAGTGATGACTTATTATAGGTCAAATGTAGTGAACAGCAGTTCATTCTGACCCACTGTTCCTGTGGAATATGACCATTAAAAAAAGTGAAGGATATCAGAAAGCTTCAGTTGTTCGACCATTATTGCCTTTGAGGCAAAGACTGTCATGGAACCATCATATCAGCCACATAGATACCAGGTCGAGAATTTTAGGTAAAAGAAGAAAGTTAGTTGATGAAGTTAAACACTTTCATCGATTCAGATGGCTAGAATATGTGTTAGGCATGTCTAACGACTGTTGGCTCTGTCGCAGTGTTAGAATAAGTAAGTTTAGGCTGGAAAAATATTGAAAGGTAGCCAGATTAAAATATGGAATCCATGTATGAAGTCTGAGACTGTTGGTTTGAGCCGTATAGGAAAAGTAGACTTTCCAGCGTGACAACGGAAACTTGTGGTTGGGAAATGATCCCAGTGCTGAAGATGTAGCTGCATATTACCGCCAAGTTAATCTTCATATCAGATCTTGTCATGGCTTTATCACCTTATTCCTCGTCTTCTACGGCTTTCTACTACTTTTGATTGATATTTTTTCACTATTTTCTGATCTTTTACCTTGAGTGGTGCAACAACTTGGATCATTATGCAGTGATGTCAAGCTACGTGTTGACAATGACCTGGCAATAGTCATCTCGGTTCCTAAGCGCATTAACCAGCAAAAAGTTGTTTTCCTAAATCAAATCACTTTGTCATTCTAGACAACATGATAAACACAAACTTCTGAAAACTTTACGATTAAACTATCCATCTCAGAGAAAACAACATCAAAATCATTCGCCTGAGCTATAAATGTTGATCATCATCATCATCTCAAAAAGGATATAAATGCTAGAAATAGCGAGTTTTAAAGAAGAAAGATGTCCAAACAAGCACTATTTGTAGACAAAATTGGTAAGGACATTAGACAATGAAGACAGCAAAAAATGTTTAGTTTTTATACGGTATGATGTGTAATTTAAACCACCTATACGTGAATTGGTTTTTGTTTACGTTCACTCTAGATTAAGGTTAGTTAGTTCATGCAACTGAGGAGATTGCAGATCATTCAATGTTTAAGACAAGAATAATTTTACTCAGTTTCACGAAGATTTGATAAGAGAAAGCATTTCAAAAAAAAGGGTAGAAATCAACTAAATATCACGTACAAAACCTCAACAAACATTATAAGTTTTTATGAATTAAGTAAATGAAACGAGTATTAGTTCAAGTGATACACTTTTTTACTGTTCATATATTTTAGTGGATTTTTAGTATATCAATGATAAAGGTACTTTACTTACTACTTGTATTCATAATCTTTCAGTGCTTTTTCGAAGGGTTTTTTAAGGTCACTTTTGATATCTCCTTGCATAAATGTTTCCATTGGAAATACAATAATACTATTTAAATTTTGCATCTAAAATAAAAATCAAGAGGATTAAAAGACCATCAATCTGATGATGAATACAATAAGCCAATGTGTATATGAAACACTGTGAAGGAAAATAGTATTCTTTCATACAGCTCAGTACATTACTTTTAACTCTACACTCATGCATCAGCCCTACGTGCAACATACCAATACACAGTCTTTATTGAGTAAAATCTATCACTTACAGCAGATTTGAACTTAGGAAATTTATGGGAATAGATTTAGCAGTTTGCTGATTTTTCATTTCACTTGAGATGTATGACTTTTTACACCTAGGCAGGCATCTTTTTGAAAACACAACTCAGTTATGTCGATTGTCTCGTCGATAAGCTACAGTGATATGACTGTAGCGGACGAAATGATACACTGGTGTGGATTAAATACTTACTGTTAGCGTATCATATGCCAGTATACGAATGTAATAATGAAGTTAGAATTAAAAAATTAATAAAATGGAGGTTTCTTAACAACCTCGTAAACGCATATGGGTTACACCTAATAGGATGTGAAGGCTAACGTTGCTATTCATACTGTGTTGGTCTGAGTACTCTATCTAACAGTTAGTACTGTGAATATTGTGACAGCTTTGCATGGTATCTATTGAACATCATTCGATTGGTTTGAAGATATTCACAGAATTGTACAGCCGTCGCAGGGATAGATCTAGCTGAAGTATATGACCACGCCATGATAAAAAATATGATCATTACACCCTGCACGTACTAGGGAGTTTTTACTAGTGAAAACTCATACTTTCAAGTCGATGATAAGGTGATAGTTGATACACATTTGTGTTTCGTGCCCCCACTCACCATTTGATTCAAGTGTTCTAACCATTTTATCTTAAATTATATCCCCATGTCTATTTTGTCGTCCACTATAACTGTTTCACATACTACTTTTCACGGCTAGAAGAATAGATAAGCGAACATAAAAAATAGTGGTCTAATCTAACAACCAGCCAAATGAACTTGAAACAACCAAATGGAATCAAGCAACCTTGTAGACATATTTTAATCACCAAGTGTAAAAATAAAAACGGAGAGTATAGAAAGTTTAGACAAAATGAATTGTTCAATGAAAGAGGAGCTGTGGCTCAATGATTTAGACAGTTGACTTTGGGTTACGGGTTCGAACAACACAACCTACCGAGGTTTGGGTAGCTAGGTAGCATCCTTACACCTCAATGCTTACGACTCCATAAATGAACACAAGGTTGCTATGTGTATTTAGATTTTCAATGGAAAAGTAACTTCCAAGCATTTATTCTCCTAGCTGGCTGTCAGCAGCTTCATTTTTAGTCACTTATGACAGATATTTTTCAAGCTTTACCGAGAATTTTTCGGTCGAATCAATATGCATACCTGTAAATGATAACCATGAACCAAGGAAAATAAACATTTCACGTCAGAGATGCCTCAGAAATGAAGTTTCGTCGCTTTAATACAAGCTAACTAGAACTTTATGCCTTAATAAATAAATAAAAATCAGAGAGCATGTTTCGGAAGTCAATTTTGGGCAATTTCCACAGTTTGGTGTTAGAGCGGTCTTAGCGGGTAAGGATACATGAGTTAGCACAAGAACAAAGGTTTTTAATTGCATAGTAAGGACACATTTTACTTCGTCCAATCAATCCTTTATTAACATAACACTGATAAACCGTATATGGATGAAATTGCGATCACAGAAAGGGGATATTATTTGTTTATAGTTCTATTAGTCAATATCGAAGCACGGCAATAAGCGGCTGAAGGTTGTTTTGGTTGATTGGAGTCACTAATTTTCACCTCCGCTAATAAATACCCAGACGGCGAAGTATACAAGTAGGAAATATCCAACAGATGCTACCTTGTGATCCAATCTAGTCTTAACGGCCAAATATTCATGTTCTGGTGGTTAAAATATAAACAGCTGGTCGCTTAAAACTTTGCTTTGGACAGCTACAAACCAGACTTTACAGGTGCACATACAAAAGAAATGCTTCGGTTTTCTGTATCGAATAGCCTAAACGTTAATTAGCAGTGCGAGTAAGTTTTAAAGTTTGGTTATCATGGTAGGGAAATGGGATACATAGTTAAGTGAACAAATCCTCACCGAAAAGTTAGGGTTCAAAATGAAGCGCAAAACATAAGGAATGTCACCTGATCGAAAAATTTCTAACACGAAACAAAATTAATGATTTTTACATGCTACGCTTCCCTTAAGTGAAATGAGAAAGGACAAAGAATAGAAACCTGAGACCAACAGTCGGTCAAACGACATTGAAAAACCAGCTGAAATTGACGGGAGTTTCTCAGTTATGTGTAAAGTTGGATAAGTTTCAGGCTTGATGGATTTCACATATATGGGAACCTTGTAGTAGTGGATCACGAGAGCGAATTCGATAGATGTGATCAAAATAGATTCTAGAACGTGGACCAAATCCGTTGCCATGAGTAGAAAACTAACTGCTGATAAGGAAAGATATTTTTAAAATTGCAAACGAGTTTCAAAAACTGTTACATATCAAAGAAAAGCTACCTATACCAAAATAATTTTTAACTGAAAAGTGTTGTAAACATCTTACCAGATGCTTAGTCATGTTAGCCAAATCTCTGTGGACAACAGAAAACTTGCACAAACTGGCAGCAATATCATTTCCATTAGGTTCATTCCCCTCCAATGCTATTTGACCAAGCCTTTCTAAAAAGTCGCACAAAGCTGTGATTTGCTCAGCATAGGCTGTACATATAATAAAATAATAAATTACCGATCCCTGAGGACACAACAGATTTGACTAGCTTCTTTGATCGTATCAGGACATTTCTATCCGTCTCTAATCCCTACAAGAAAGAAATCATAATCATTTATTTCATAATAAAAACGCATGTTCTAGTTACGAGATTAACTTACCTCATCCAGACTATACACTGTGCATCTCACACTGGAAATTTTTGAAATGAAATTAGACTTCAGAGGATGTCTGACGTCCTCTAACGTGTCATTTACGAACTCATCAACAGTCAACGCATCAGGCATTATTCGCGTGCCGTCGGGATTTCAAAAGGCGCTTATCAAATGGTTGGAAACAGAATATTCGGTTTTGTCCAACTTATTTTTGAGCCTAAAAACAGTGCAATACAATTTTCACTACTTTGTGACCTACTAACAAGACCGATAAAGAGAAAAGGTTAGAGTTCATTCAGGAAAAGCAAGCTATTGTAATTCAACCCGATCCCAACGTGTAACATCCAATTATCAATGTCTCTTCATTACCTGGTGTATACCACTCGATTTCTTCTCGCTCTTTCTAGAACTTGTGGACCATTTTTATGACTTTAATGGATTCTAATGCCGGTGCACCCAATCGCCTGCTGTTGTTCTGGTGAGCCTGACAGCCGGTTAAACGTTAACTAACCTTATGGGGACTGTATGATTTGTCCAAGGACTGTGATGCATATGGCTTTCTCGAGTGTTGTGTCACTGGACAGCTGCCCGTACTTGAATAAAAGAGGGATAAAAAGACGGAAAAGATATCCAGAGAAATCAACTAGACGCGAGAGATCAAAAACTACCAGTTTTCTACGCTCGCACTATCAATATTGGATAGTGGAAGGGAGAGGAAGTGCAAAAAACAAGGTGTAAAGAAGTGGGACTAAAGGGAAGGGGAAACCTGGGTAGATTCGGGTGTGATAACGGCGGTACAGGAAACCTAAATAAATGGGTTTACAGGACACAAGGGGAAAAGAGGAAGAAATTAGGGATATTGGACGCAGTACGGGAGTAGAAATAGCTTTGTTATTTGGGTTATCGTAACTGGAGGTGAGACGCCCAACAGGAAGGTGTGAGGTTTATTCAAGTTTGCAATGTTAGTTATAGTAAAACAAGATTTGACGTAGAGTTGATTGTGCCGGATTGTGTGGAATTAGTTGGTTGTATCGACCTGGCCGGTACCTCAGTTCGATGAGTGTAAGTCGTGCATAGTTGCATAGCTGTCTAACCTCTTCATGCGGCTGTCGAAAGACACAACAGTGGCAACCTCAGTGGACAGTGGGTTTTAGTGGCCTCAAACTAATGCTAAGAAGAGGTATGAAGGCAAGCAGGTTTTGGCGTTTTGATAGGTGGTTGTCCTTGGGTTGCCGCAAGAAGCGCCACGGTGGTCGTTAAATAGGATTTCACTGTTCGAATGGTTTGGATTACTTAGAATATTGTGAGCCGTTAGCAAGTCACGCATAACCCACAGTAACTGTGAAAGTAAGGCACTATATCCTTAAGCCTGTCCTCGTAAGTCTTTTGCTTTATTCCCACGACACCTTTCGTTGCTCACCTGCGGACTTCCTCCATCCTTTCACATCCCTTCACAAGTATGGTGGTGCAATAACGTGAACTTTTAAGTGAAGTCTTATATGGGTTTTGTACAGATTCAGGAGGAGTTCCAGAGGGACGGTACTTAGTTGTCTGCGCACGAAGTGCAGCACTATGTAGGCCCTGGAAGCATCCCTTGAACAGCTGAAGCAGATTTCTTGCTGAGCAGTTAGTAATAGTCCCAGGTCTTTCTCCGTGATGGTGTGGGAAAGTTGCGTACCCTAGCGAGAGTAGGATATATTTCGTGAGTTGCGGGGCACGAAGAAACATGGTTCGGTATTTATCCGGGTTGGATGCGAACATCTAACACTGGTAATGCTGGCGTAGGAAACCGATGATTTCTGCTCTTTCGCATCCTGTCCTCGGGGCTTGGTTCGGACGGTTTGGTTTGCTCCGGTATAAGTTGGTGGTAAGCCATACGAGCCAACGTACTTCTTTACTCTTCTATTGAAGAAGTCTGGTGAGAGGACTGTCGCTAAATACCTCCGTAGAGGATTCCATGGAGCAGAATACTGACCTGGCCGTACGGGTGGCTGTCTTTTAAGTCATCCTGGCCGGGTTCTTCCACGGTCAACCCCGTACTATCCGATAGGCCTGTTCGCTTGGGTTGCATGCCCTATGAATCATCTTGTGGATCACATCGAGGTAAGTCCTCTATCTCCAGTAGCCCAAAGTGAATAAATTTCGAGGCCTCGGGCTTTCGCAGTATTCCCTCCTCCCGAGTTCGATGGCCGATCCCGCCGTGGATCTTTGTATATTTACAGGGGGCCGGAGTCTGTCTCCAGTGTCCGTGGTCCTACCGTATTGAAGACTTATAGATACTTCAGCACGCAGAGTTGGAAAACCATGAGAAGTGGTTCACGGCTGAAAGCGGCAAACTGCCCACGCAGAAAGTATGAAGTGGAGTCTGCCCCGGCTGCCATTTCCATGTAACTAAAGATGGTGTTCGGGACGTCGGTGAAGCTGAGCACCAGATACTTTCCACGAACACTGGTGACAGCGAGGTTTCTAGATTTGCAGTGGGATTGGGCCGTCATGGCTTCGTGGGTACCGATTCGCATTGCGTCGCATTTTTCTGGGCTGAACCTCGAGCCATTTTCTGACAATCGGGGATCCAGTTGCTGTCAGTCATAGTCGGCCTCTTCATTTAATGTGCCGCAAATCTTTACATCGTCGGTGAAAAGGAAGATAGGTGAGAGGATGTTATGTAAGATCTTTGAAGAACAGGGCGATCATAGGTGGCCCCAGGATTGCTCCTTGAGATACCTCTGATATCGATGGTCACTAATCCGGATGTAGTCTGTTTGCCTTGGTGCAGAACTGTGTCTTCTGGATACTTGCGGAACCAAGAGAGCAGGTTTTCATTTTCGCTGGGTGACATGATCTTGCGAAGCAGGATTGCGGACAGGATGCTTTCAACTGCTTTAACTGGGTTGAAGAAAACGATTTACGCCTCTTTTCTGTTTTCCTAGCTAAAAGCCTAGTCGTCTCACGCAATCAGCAAGTTCGTGGTACGTAACCGACAACTCCGAAAGCCATGCTGAGCAGTAGGGGTGATGTTTACCCTGTCAATGAGTTCCTAGGCCTTACCTGCCGTCGGGCTTTCCAGTGCTTTCGACAGCGTAGGGAGTAGGGCAATCTGTCTGTAGATGCCGGGACTTCCATCTCTCCGCATGAACATGGGCGGCAAGATGGTACAATTCCATCCTTTTGGAGTCTCCGCAACTCTAGCGGGTACCTGAAGGGGTTGCAGGTTGGTTTCGCGGTTGCCTCTGCGCAGCCTTCTGGGATAGCCGGTTTCAGGTTTTAGCAGCCGGAAGACTTTTCTGAAAAGAGCATGGATAGTTTATCCGACAAAAGTTTTGCGTGGTGGGGATGAAGGGAAGGTATTGGTCCTTTATGGCCCGATCAGCGTCGTATCACACCGGTGCAGAATCCGTAGCCGAAACGATGAGCTGGACTTCGAAGCATGACATCAGAAACTGGGTCATCTTCAAGCTGCTTATCACATTACTGGGACCTGTGATAAGATAAAATCTTTTGCTGTTCGACTTCCTTTTCCTAATAACTCTACAGCCACAAGTGATCGAGGTTTAGGTATGTTTTGTGGCGCAACGACGCCAGACAATACTCCGTCCAGCTATACTGGGGCACCATTTGGTCTGTTTAACAAATCAGAAGGCTCTACACATCATAACTCCTCCTACTCGTACGTTGTTCGCACAAACGTAAGGTCTGTCCTTGGAAACTATCGGCAACAACAGGAATCGCACTCATATTGGAACCGCCGGTAATAACCATCACTGAGTCTTGGTGTCGCGCGAATATACCAAATGAAGAGGTAAGCAGTGATATATACACACAATTCCGATATAACCGGGACAACAAGAACGGAGGAGGTTGCCCGATGTACCTCCTGAACACTTTCGCTACATTCAGGTTAGGAAATATGGTCCTTAATAGCATAAGCGACTCTCTACGGGTAGCTGTTAACTACACGAATGTTGTGGCACTGACGGGATGTGATTATAGAGCACCCTAATCACGAAAGTCCACTGGTGACAGCTGCAGAAAATACAGCCACTCTTCCATGTGATCACAACATCATATGCGGTGGCTTTAACTTACCCAAAATTAAGTGCAAATTACTCACTGGGCCAGTTGGGTATGACAACTTTTTCCATACGCCTGCTATTTTTGGACAGGAACAAATTGTTACTACTCCTACAAGAGGTGACAGTGTATTGAAATTAATATTTGGCCTCAATATAAATGCTGTTTTGACAAATGCAGACTCCAAGTTTTCAGGAAGTGATCACAAAGCGGCATTATTCCCACTGCCACCCCCTTCAACTGGCACTTCAGTTGATAGTGCCACTTTACAACAACCACTGCATAGAGAGTACGGCAGAAAGAACCAGAGGCTGATACGTCCATTGATTAGGTGCGTCGACTAGGGATTATACTTCAGGCGCCGTATATCCCAAATTAGCCTTCGATATATTTTGACTACAACTCCAAAACACGTTTCGACACCGTCGTTCCACTGACAAATTTCAAAAATGCCTCCAAACATAAAGCCCCCCGGCACTCATCGAATGTTACGCAAACTCTCGGTGAGGTACTACCGACGTCATGACTTCGATGGGCCTCGGTTGACTCTTGGCGCTTTTAACGCCATATCGCATAACCACGATATGCGTATGAAGAGTGGAGAGTAGTGCGCTAGTTAGCTCATCTAGAGCGTATGCTGTCTCAGTACTCCTTAAGACGCGATCGAACTTTGCAAGATGTGACATTTCTGTCCTTATTCATGACACCAAAACTTGCAATAACCCGATAGATATAGGCAAAATATTGGGTGACTTATTCAAGGTTGGTTATAAATAAGTATCCTACTCTCAAATTCAGAAGTTAGCATGGGAGAAGCCAGTTTAGAGGCATCATCAGATTGATAACGGTGAGAAAATCTCCATTAGCTGAGCCGTCCTAATTGATGCAGAAAGAAGGACACCAGCGTTTATCACGGTATCGAAAGCGCCTGCAGGTTATGAAAAGAGCAGGAAAATATCGCTTCACAGCACATACAGACTGTTTATGAGTCTCGGTCATTTTCATTCACCTTTCTTTTTTTACAATAAAGTGACACCAAGGTCGGCACATGCGCAACATGT